AGGTATTAAATAAGTTTTATTCTTGAATTTTTATTTATAATAAACAAAGTTTACGGTTTTAAAAACGTGTTAACAACGACATTTTGATACTGTTTATTTTATTAAATTAAGATATCTACGACTAGAACTTCAACAAGAAAATAAACAACATATTTAAATTATCCCTCTTTTAATCTTTGTATAAGGTTGATATGTAAAACTCACATGATGAGTAACGGAATTGTTGGCCTGACTGCTGAGCCAGAGCTCGTGGGTTCGATTCTCGCCTAGGACAACCAATTGCATGATTAGCACGATCATTTATTCTGTCTCTATAATTCTATTTCTGTTTACTACAGGTTGTCCAGTTCGAGATCAAACAGCTTTGTGTATTAAAAAATATTAACATTATCATTCATGCCTAAATTCTTTCACAAATGGAAAACTACATTATCAGCGAGTAAATAGGCTACTGTTTACCGCGGTAACCGATATACACCGCACGTGGCAGCGCCATATCTAATATAAAATAATTAAACCAAATGTTAACACGTTCCCCTTAGCGCACGCGCAATCTGCGCTACATAAAACCTTGCATACGTTTGCATAAACGCAATTAGCCAAGAGCATGCGGCACCTTGTTTGTTGAAGCAAAACGCTTTAAATAAAGTTTAAAGGTGCACTGAATATGAAAGTGTGGTGTTGCAATGTTAATCGAGAAATTTGATACAATTTTCAACAAGATTTTGTTACGAATCTTGTACCTTTTTAAGGTAATGTTTATGCTCTATTCGCTTTAACTTTCACGTAGTTCACAGACAGTAGACATTCATAAATTTGGTTTTAAATTTAATTTAATAATTTGGCTTATATTTATATTAATTAATTAAGCACTTACAGTATATGATATTGACTAGGTACGTGACTCTGTGACCAAGCTTGGTATTTTGAAAACCTCTCCTTCCCCAGGTAGCAACACGTTTAAGGCTTGTTATTTCAAAAACTTTTACCATGCGGGACAATAAACATCAACTAAATTCAGTATTTATAAAACGGGCAGAATTAGCTTTTAAAAGTTCGACGAACTTTATGACTGTTACAAATAAAGCCAATAAAAAAATAAAATGTAAAAATTGACATAGAAGAAATGTTTCACTGATAAATAACGCTTTAGATCTTTTAAGGTAAGAGTAACTTACATACCAGTTCAGCGGTTTTTGATTACGCATACAAACTTCCACCCCCTTTTCACCCCCTTAAAGGATGATTTCTGAGATAAAAAGTAATATGTCCTTTCCCGGGACTCGGACTATCTCTATACCAAATTTCATCTAAATCGGATAAGGGGTTTAAGCGTGAAGAGGTAACAGACAGACAGACGCACTTTGGCATTTATAATATTAGTATGGATTTAAAACAAATAAAATACGTAAAAAACAAACACAATATTAAACGTAAGCCAAGACAATTTCTGAACCGAATATCACAGATACAAAAACATAAGTCATGTCGTCGTAAAATACAAAAATAAGCTTGTAAAAAGAGAATACCTTTGTTTTCGTAAATTTTTTCCCGCGGTCCCAAAGGACACATTGAAATTAATGAGGTATTAAAAAAAAAAACAATGTAACCACGCCACCTACTTTGTCGCCTGCGGGGCCACGCGAAATTAAATTATATGGAATCCCCAGACATCACACAAATAAGGGTATAAGATTAGGAAAAATATACGTAAAATGGTGAAATCAAGTGCCGCAATATTTTGTTGACGGACGGACGGACAGGCCTGGTGGTCTAGTGGTTGGTGACCCTGACTGCTATACCGGAGGTCGTGTGTTTGATTCCCACCCAGGACAAGTATTTGTGTGATGAGCACGATCGTTTTTTCTGTGTCTGGGTGTAATTTATCTATGATATGTATCTATTTAAAAATATATAAGTATGTTTATCAGCGGTCTGGTTACTATAGTACAGGCTCTGCCTAGTTTGGAATCAGACAGCCGTGTGTGTGATGCGTGAGGTTATTATTGGAACGAAGTTCCTTATCGCGCGTTGTGAAAGGGGGCTAGACGGAAAAAATTCTTACGTAAATTGGTCACGACACTTTTTCTCTGTCTGTCTCTCTCTTTCTTATAGAAAGCAAGACAGATATTTTCACTTCTATTTTTATGTCAGTCATTCAGCGCCATCTATCGAACAGATAGAAAATCATTACTTTTCATCTCAGTATTTATTTTGAATTGTCACTTGTCAGTCATTCAGCGCCATCTATCGAATAGATAGGAAATCATTTCTCAAGGCGATTTTACCAATGTATAAATTGTTTTAATTAGAAACCAACTGAAAAATATGTAGCCGCTTTCATAGATGGCGTTGTAATTAAAATCGTGTCGAATCAGTTTTACTAGATAGTCACAACTTCGTTCCTATCGGGTGTCCCACGACACCACACGGCTTTTTTTATTATTATCACAATTACTGGGCAATCGTTATTATAATATTATAAAGCGCGTGTAAATTGTCTGCCTGCCGTGAGCCTATGTCTTTCCTCAAGAATAAAGGTCTCTCCCTGAAAACATTTCATTAAAATTGGTTCAGCTATTATTAATTTCTCATACGAACTTCCACCAGCTCCACCCGCATATTTAACCCTTTAAAGGATGGTTTCTGGTGTAAAAACCATCCATGTCTTTTGACTCTAACTATCGATATGCCAAATTTCATTTAAATCGGTTTAGCGGGTTGAGCGTGAAGAGCTAATACACAGACCGATTTTATCGCATTTATAATATTAGGATGGATGTAAATTCATTTATCTGATTGTTTTACGCCTTGGCTACTAAAACGATCATTATTAATCTTTAGGTGCGTTATCAGTAGAGATGGAATAAAATCAGATTCACATGTGATAAATCATATGATGAATAAATCATATAATCAAAGCCGTGACTGATTTAAAAAACCACTGTGACTTATTGTTAAGCTAGCGCAAGACTAAATCTAAAAACAAAAAAAAGGTCGTAATCTTTGATAAAAAGAATTTTGATTGCTTTTAATTGTATTTTATTTAAATATACCTCTCTATATCTCGACCGGAGTTATACAAATGCCTCTCAGAATATCGGTATTAAGCTAAACTAAACCTTACAGAAAAGAAAATAAGATACCTTTTATTTAGAAACTAGCTGGCACCCGCGACTTGGTTAGCGTGGAATATGAAAAGCGCTATCTTAGTGGTGTAGTACGGTACGCGACTACAGTCCATGAGGCCTTGTTGTGAGGGTTCGCTTCCCGGACCGGGCAAAATTTTATAGGCTTTTTCTGAGAGGAAGAAAGTAAAGTTACTCCTTATTAAAGAGTTACTCCTTAGTTATTCCTAAAGTTCTAAATCTTTGTTTTAATTTAAAAGTACTAATTTCATAACTTACCCATACATTACTAATTCATAATGTACCTAGTCAATTAATTTATTATGCAAAGTATATGTTTTTAATTTAAAAGGACAAATTTCATAACTTACCAATATTGCTAAATTACTGTGTGACACTTATCACGCAATTTATTTGTCTACGATGGAAACCAAACAGACGGCCTTTAGATCAGTAGCCGTTTTCATTAATCATTAGAACATAGGTCTCTCATTATGAAATCACCCTTAATTTGATTGGTGATTTTGTAGGTATTTTATTATGAAGAAACATATAAAATTAAAAAAGTTTAACAAAGTATTCATTAAGTTGAGTTTTAAATATCACAAATATTTTTATTATATATCAAATATCTACCTAATACTATATTTATATAAATAATATAACAGTTTTTTTTTTTTTGAAAAAATAATAAACAATAATACATTGATGAATAATTTGATCAACACAAAATATTTTCTAAAAATTTTTTTTAAGAATTTTTGTGTTAAAAACAATGATCCAGACAAAGAAAAGGAATACTTTTAAAGTTAACCTATTTTTCGCCCTAAATATTAGGGCGAAAAATAGAACTTTAAAAGTATTCCCATTTCTTTTACACAAATTCATTCGTATTATTTGTTGCGTTGTTTTTTAGAACGAAGCATATTGAAATATTTTTACACTATTTTATAATGAAGTACATTGTATACCGTAAAATGAAACAGTTTAAAAAAATAATTCATACAATTTGTGGGTAGTTCAAGAATAAATTCCAGTAGGCCTAATAAGGGTTCTGTACTACTCTGTTGTATACGTCATTCACGACTACAATGTCGTTGTATGACCGACAGACACGAGACCCAAGATTACTTTAATGAACAAAAGACCAGATATGAACAATATCTTATAAAAAAAGCATTACCAGTCAAAATAGTTAAAGATTTTTTGTCTTAAACACATATAACTGATTAATTTTTACAAATATACGTTCTGATATAAACAATTGTACTTCTGATGTTTATTAAACACAGTCTATAGAGTTTTAAATTAACGAATTTATAACATAAGTAATGGTTTTAAAATGTTAAATAATTATTACACGAAACTAGAATTTAGTTTTTGGAGAAAACGCCATAGTAAAACAAGTATTCATGATTACGTTTTTTTTTTCTTTAAGTCGTATTTGTTATTATCTTGTGATCTTCATACACCATTCCCATTCTTGGTTGGTTGGTCTTAATTTCATTTCGTATAATCCTACATATATTTTTTAACTTGATTACTTACCAAATAAACATCACAAACAATGGTCACAAACAAATGGTGAATATATAAATACCAGCATAGAATTTTGGCCAAATCTTGTGCAACGAGACCTAATAAAAATAAACTTATACACTAGAGCGGGACAACATTGAATTTTAATGTTACACGTAATTGTAGCACAGCCCTTAGTCGAGTGTATAAACATCTGATGCGACTAACGATATTAAACAAAAATCAACTTTCACTCAATAACACAAGGTCTCTTATGAAAATACATGTAGATTGTCTTGTTGCCTTTCAGATCTGTAGCCGATTGTCTTCATGTCTCCTCCTGCCGAGAGTGGTCTAGTTGCGTGTCTCACATGTCAGGGGGCAGGTGGACCGCAGCTCTAAGAAGAAAGGTCCTTCCTGTCCCGGCTTGTATGTAGATGGCATTAGTATGTACTTACCTGATGGAAGATTTCGAAGTTCCAGAACAACAAATCCGGGCCTGTGGGAGGTGAATATCAATTATCTAATAACTTTAACCGAAAAATGACTCTTTAACTAACTTTCACCCAGAGATCGAGATCCGACCATAATTAGTTTGCATTGCATTGCATTGCAACATGCAAGCATGCAAAAAAAAGACACCTATTTTTCCTACATTTTCTTTGTATTGAACTCCCGTGTGTGGTGACGGATCAAGAATACGGAGAGTATCCCTGTTCATCCCATGGGTGTCGTAAGAGACGACTAAGGAAGCAAACTGCGCAACACAACAGCACTGCAAAGAGAAGGAAAACTTGAAACAAACCCTATACCAACCCGTCTGGCCAGCGTGGTATAGAAGGCCAAAACCTCCTTTCTAAGGAGAGGCTTATGTCCAGCAGTGGACTGTTAAAGGCTGTTGATGATGATGATGATGATGAACTCCCAGTGGTAGCACGTATTCGTCAGCGATGATAAAATTCAACACAGTAGTCATTAGAACCAGTGCCATAATAGTAAGATTAGCTTACTTCCACACCTGATGACGGGTGGCGACTGTTCGAGCCTCAGTGCCTGATCACTTTTTGAACTTTTTGATTTCATGTCGGGATATATTTTTTTAACTCTATTACTTTAAAATGACTGCAGTTTTCGGAAAAATAAGTATAATATGTAATTTAACAAAGAAAAAAAAACAAAATAAAACAAAGCTTCGAAGGAAAAATTCTTTTGCATTTTTTTTTAACAAAATCATCATGAGATTTAGCTCGAAATACTTCACAAAAAGCAGGTTTGGCGGTTCGATTCGCTATAGAATAAAATACGAAACATGTTTTGCCTAAAAACTTGCTTCTGTGGTGTTATAATTTAACAATTAGTAATTTGCAATGATAAAAGTAGTAACCCGTCTGGCAGCGTGGCTAAAACCTCCATTGCAAGGAGAGGCCTAAGGCGTAAATTGAATTTAAGGTAAAGAAAACATTGACTTACCTGTAAGGTCCAGATGTTTCTTTGAAAAATGGTGCCGTAACAGTCTGGTCATCCAAGCTTTCGACCTTCGCATCGACTCCTAGCTGGTACTGCTTCGGACCCTTCAGTTCCACCACTATGTTACATGGTGTTCGACTCTCCGGAACTGTGATAATGAACTTGGGGTTGTTCGGATAAGTATCGCGGTGGTTCTCACACCCACCCGCCGTACGACCCAACCATTCACCTTTCAACTGAAATACATCTTTGGGTTTATTCTATTGTAACATAATACGGTTGTTTTAAAGTTGTTTTTGGTTCAAAATGCCAATCTCTTTAACTATTGGTTTAGTTTCCAATTCTTGAAGAAGGTTACAGACGATTTAATATCATGCTGTGACCATTGCGAGCGGAGCAGTGATGTTAAGAGTGGATGAAATTGTGAACACTTTTGTTGATTATTTATTTTAAATTATATATTTACTTAACACCATATTTCCAAATATTTGTATTATTTATTAAATAAAATCAATAAATCCCTTAGTGCAATACACATTACATTTTAGCTATGTCTGTTAAATTTAAAAAAAAAAAACATAAAAATCAATTAAGCTTCGATCGATTTAGTATAAAGCGAACTCTCGATACACCATATCTCATCTCATTTTCATATAAATTCAATCGATTACATTAATCGGTAGATGTGGTGTTTAGGACACTTACAGTTTTCTTATGCGGGTACGGTTCGAGTTTGGTGAGTGTGAACGGACACGAGGAGTATGCCCGCAATGTATAGAAGATGGTCCTGCTCTTCTCGTACTGCGATACCACCAGCGTGTACCGATCAGCACTGTTTTCTCCTATCATTAATTCACAGAGGTAATGTGGACTGTTGATTCGGATGCCATCTTTGTAAGGTTCAGGGTCATCTGAAATTAAAATATAAGTCGCATAAACATGTAATAATATTAATATTTTTCGGCCATCTGACTCACAACGCCATCTAGTTTCAAACTAAGCAGGGCTTGTTCTATGAAGGCTAGATTAACTGATAGAATACTTATGTACTTTTTTTTATAAATACATACATAAAAAACACCCAAACTCCGAAACAAATATTTACAGATCATACAAACATTTGGTCCGACCCGGGAATCGAACCCGAGACCTCAGCATAGCAGTCCTATACGCTACCACTGCATCGCCGATGCAGTTAAATATAGGTATATTACCGATTCAATGTAATAGTGTTTTAATTATGTCTGTTACGTTTCACCAATTATACTTAATAATTACTAGTATTTTTTTTTTTTTTTAATCGATTTGATTCGTTTTACTGGCAACACTCGCAATTTGTTAAGAAATGTACGGGCTGTCAAATCACTTTTTGGGGAGCTCGTCAAAGACGGACATAGAATAGAATAAAACATTTATTGTTCTGATTGACTATTTGTTCATTAAAATATGCAGGCTTCCAAATAACTATTTATGAAATGCTTATCAAAGGTAATGTTGTAACAAATTATAATACTATGTTATACTATCGTGGAGGGTAGTTTTAAAATATACATTTATAATTCTGGCTGTTTTATTTTTATATATATCTATGCCACAATTAAAGTCGTTTGACTAATAATTTCGGTTTAAAACCACCGAATCCGCTGAGGAGTAGCATCTCCAGAGTATCTTTTTTTATCGTCGGCCCAGCGCGCATAAAATTAACCGTTTATCAAATGGGGGCGAAGGGTTGTGTGCTGTTTGACTTCCTTGACACTATAAATATAAGACTTACGACATATAAATTGCTAAAATACCTTTGTAACATACTCACAAGGATAATACACCCTCCTGCCGTTTTTGTAAACCAACAGTGTTATATACTCCTTGTTGTCTCTGAAGTCGTTGATCTGAGTGATGTGTCTCGACAGCAGGAGCCATACCACGCCTTTACCCTGAACGTGGAGAGAGAACTGAGGGTTCTCTCCTATGTTGTACGCGTCCTTGGCAGGGCCTGTGCCGGCGTCCCATTTCCTGAAGGTAAATTGGTAAGTTTGTATTGGGGATACCTGTGGTGACTGATCGAACATTAAAAAGTGATGTATTGATAAACTGTTGCTACCATAATGTTTGACCAAACTTTAAAGTATGTCGTATTAACTAACACGGGAACGCTATGTTTTTAGGCATAAAAAGTAGCCTATGTTCTAATAGGGCGTCAGCTACCTTCATACCAAATTTTATTAAAATTGGTCCAGCCGGTTGAAGTCGAAGAAGTAACAAACACACATACTCAAAAACTTTCGTCTTTATAATATTAATATGATCGATGTGAACTAATGTTATTACTGTTAGTTGCTCAAAATTTAAAAGATAAGAATAGATAAGAATTTATCGTGTGAAAAGGCAACACTGACTGGTGTATACAATACGTGTACTGGAACATCTCGGGGTTCCAGTTGAGGTAGAAGACGTCGAAGAATTTGAGGATGCTGGCGTAGTCGATCCAGAAGACGCCGTTGTCGTACTGCGCGGCGCTGTCGGGGTCGTAGCGGAGCGTAGCGCGTAGCGCGGGCGTCCAGTGCGCCTCGTCCAGCTCCGAGTAGTTGCCGCGCCAGCGCAGGTGCGACCACGGGTTCTTCAGCTTCAGCAGCTTCACGCCCTGCCGAACGCATAACGAATACTAGAGCGGTCCCTGACTCTTGTGGATACGTTCTCCACGTGGTACAACGTTTTGTGTGATTCACAGTCGGTTTTTCTGAGTCTGGGTTTTCTTTGCGTCCGTTCCATAAATCATCATGAATGTCTGTAAGTACCTCGTGACACAGTTGGTGTCGAATATTTGTTAAATATTTGTATCGACTTACATGTTTATGTCAGCGAGAATGCGTGCCAATATGCAAACATTGCATACTAGCTTTCAACACGCCATTTTTTTTTGCGGGTATTATAAATGTCCAAGAACAATACATCTGTTACTAACATTTTTGAATACCCAAACATGCACAAAATACGAGTGAAGTTATAGCAGTCGTACATGTTATTTAACATCTGAGATCTACCATTTGACGAACAAAAAAATCGCGAGCGTTCATTGGTCAATCATATTTGACTTGACCAATGAGATGAGACATGAAAACTTCTGTTACCTGTTACAGAGTTCCGTCCATTTTTACGAATCCACTCCCTCAGACGGTAACGAGAGGAAAGATGAGAATTAAAAAAAAAAAAAAAGGGGAGAGGCTCAAGGGTATCTTATTAATTGAACAGCAAAGAACTGTACAACATCGGCCTTCCATATAACTCCGGTCGAGCCAACCTATATTCGCCGAAGCATGACTCATCATGGCTCACCCACGGTAAACGCTTTCACCTGCCATGATATGTTGTAATTTGTATTATTTATACAGGTCCGTGTGGTGACGGATTAAGAATACAGAGCCCCTCTCAGCCCCTCTCGATGGGCGGCAACGCAGTGAGTTGCAAGTGTCTCTGAGCATCAGAATCATCAGAATAAACCATGAAAAATGAGGTGTAAGTGACTAACGTTGGCCATCCTGACGTCGAGAACGGCGTAGGCGTGCGTGGGCACGAGGCCGGTGCGCTCGGCCTCGGCTTCGTGCAGCTCGCCCGTGGCGACGGTCGCCAGCACGTCGCCACGCTCGAGGCGCGTGCGGATCTTCTCGTACAGCAAGTCCGCGTTGAAGTCAGCCTCGCCCGCGCGGATCGCCACGCGCTCCGGGATCCAGCCCGTCAGAGCGTGCAGGTCTATGTTCTGTGGAACGCTTGGCAACGTTCATACTCCGCGCTTTAAAGAACTAGGCTACTGATATTACAATATACTATTAATCTATGCATATAAAATCTATCATTTATTACCTACCTCTTTATATGTGCACCTACCTCATACCTACTTTCTCCGATTGGTCGACAGGCAAAGAATGCCTTAAATAAATAAAATTGAAGTGTCACTTTTGTTGTTTTGTTGTGTTGTGTTGTCTGTTTGTAATGTCAAAATAATAGGGGTTTTTAAAACCAGTTTAAATTTTTTTTATCTGTCTGTCTTTCTGTCTGTTTATTCTGGGTAATCTTCAAAACGGCTAGACCGATTATTAAAATATTTAACTACCAGGTAGCTGTCTATATAACGAGTAACTTGGACTATTTTTCCTCTCAGAAAAACCCTATTAAATTTTGCACGGTCCGGGAATCGAACCCGAGGCTTCATGGACTGCAGTCGCGTAGCAATGTATAGCTAGTAATAAATAACCACGCGAGCGAAACCGCATTATAACTATTAATAGATAAATATGGTGTACGGAAGCACATTACATTCGGATTACTTAATGTTTATTATCTTTCTGCACTTCTTCTTCTTCTAGATAAAATATTTGAACAATGTATGCTTTAATGTTAAAAATTATGTAAAAACGACTACATGTTAGGAGTCCTGTAATATATTTTGACCTGTCATCACACAAAAGTACTGGTCAATGAATTAATTAATTCAAAACGATCGAAATTCAACCACCAGACGATCTCAAACAACAATTAATACTCACACTATTTGAGCCAGGAAAGTCATAGCCACCCATCACTTTCATGTAAGCTTTCTCGAGAAGAGATACCCAGAACTCGTTCTTGTTGCTCGAAAAGGAACACAACAGCCGGCCATATCTGCTGTAGGGAAGTCGATCGTCTATTATCACCTACAACATCGATAAAACACAAAATAACAAACACCTGACATGAGCGTGTCACGTTAGGTGCAGTGTAGGGTTCCGTACTTGGTTTTGTTACTACCCTCCTTAAACAAGTAAAAATATAAACTATGCAATTTTTTTTATTTCAGAGGGTGCAGACGAGCAGACGGGTCCACCTGATGGAAAGTGACCATCGCCACCCATGAACGTCTGCAACTCAGGAGTCACAAACGCGTGAAATGAAATGTTTTAAAAAAAAGCCGTGTGGTGTCGTGGGACACCCGATAGGAACGAAGTTGTGACGATCGAGTAAAACTGATTCAACACGATTTTAATTACAACGCCATCTATGAAAGCGGCTATTACCTACATAGTTTTCAGTTAGTTTCTAATTAAAACAATTTATACATTGATAAAATCTCCTTGAGAAATGATTTCCTATCTATTCGATAGATGGCGCTGAATGACTGACATAAAAAAGTGTCGTTACAACTTTTCGTGAGATTTTTTTCCGTCTAGCCCCCTTTCACAACGCGCGATAAGGAACTTCGTTCCAAAAATTCAAATAAGTTACCTTTCTACGAACGCCATTCAGATGTAATTTGACCATGTATTTCCCAAACGGGTTCAGCACAGGCATCTTGCTCTTATTCTTAGGATATATGATGGAGGTGATGATCTTCTTGTTGAATCTTTTCTCATATAATGCACTGACAGCTAACGACGCGACGAACGAGCAATCTGATACTATCTGAAATTTTGAATAATGTAGAAAGTATCTGATGGAGTTGTGTGCAAATTCTACTTAAAAATATATTTTAAATGTTGTCCAAAAATGGGATAAATGATTGTGGAGTCAAATCAGTATCTGATTTTTATAAACCGGGCCAAATTTAATTCAGGCGTTAAATTTTTCTATGAGCTACTAAGGCGTGACGTCATACCTAGCTATTGTCAAACCTTTTACCTTTGCTGTTGACTCGGAGATGTAAAAAAATTAACCACATTACATTGGTAACGGTGGACAATTGTCCTCATGACCTGACATGACCCCTAGGGGTAATGACAAGCTACAAGGGATTCAGTATTCCAAAAATGGGACTGTAAGATAGCGCAACTCAAAACTAAATAATTTATTGTATGACGTATTTTGCTGTTTTTAATCTTTGAAGATTAAGGCCAGGATAACAATTTTAATTAATAGAGCATACAAAATATAAGATCTAGAAATTCTAATTATACATTTGTGAGCTTAATTTTGAGTTAAAATTGAAAAAAAAATAACTGTTTCTGTGACATAAAAAATCAGTATGCGATAGTCTTTTTTTTTTTTTCTATAATATCAATTATACTCACAGTCTGTTTGATACTAAAACAATCAACATGATCGCCCACAATCAACTTTGGGTCTGAACAAATTTCATGCGGACGAATCCAACAGTCAAATTCCGCTGCTTGCTTTGAAGACAACTTCAGTTCACTAGCTTTGTCCTCAAATGGTATTGCGAACTGGAATTTCTCTAACAAGTCTACGTCCATGAACGGTAAGAAACAGTTGTTGTTAATATTTGATGTTGACCGTAGTACTTCCTTCTCTTCTTCAGTGTATGCATCTAGTTTCCCACTCACTTTTAAATGAACACTTTGTTCCCTTGTCAGATGAGGTTTGGCCGAAGATACAGCTAAAAAAAACATTCCATTTTTAGACACAAAAAAGGTTTGGTAGGTAACTAGTAACAGCCCACTTCTAAGAAGAAACAGGAAACTATAACTTTGGCATCTTGGAGCTCTCCTGATGATAGAACCAGGAACTAGGTAGTGTATTATTATAGTGGTTCGCACTATACACATACAATGGGTTTATCGTTTGTTTTAACGTGTTTTGCTAAAGTATAAGTCATACTAAACTATGAGTACATACGAGGGAGCGTTTTTATGTTCGCGGAATGGGGGATAAGGGGTGCAAAAAAAAACCAAATTATTTTTCCTTTTCAATATATTCACCTGCAAGACGGATACATTTTTCAGATCTTTCAATTAATTTAACCCTCATAAAAAATGTTTTCTCTTTGTCTTCAAAATACGCCGAAACTGCCTCCTTGACTTCACCATCGTTGGTAATTTTTTTACCCCGCAGCTCTTTTTTCATTTTTGGAAACAGGTAATAATCGCTGGGGGCCAGGTCTGAGCTGTAGGGTGGGTGATTCAAAATATCAAAGCCCACCTTATGCAGGGCAGCCAACGCAACGCGGCTCTTGTGGACGGGCGCGTTGTCGTGCAAAAGCAACACACCTTTTGTCAATTTTCCCCGTCTTTTCTCTTTAATGGCTTCTTTGAGTCGCTCTAATATTGAAGCGTAGTATTCTCCGGTTATAGAAACACCTTTATCTTTATAATCGATCAATATTATTCCTTCTGCGTCCCAAAAGACCGTTGCCATGTGTTTCCCAGCTGACTGTGACACCTTAAACTTCTTGGGAGCTGCTGTGCCCTTTTTATGCCACTGCATGGAGTCTCGTTTCGACTCAGGTTCATAATGATGAACCCAAGTTTCGTCTCCAGTAACAATTCTACTCAATACAGCATCCTTGTCTTCATTACAAAGGTCTAAAAATGCACGTGAACACTCTACGCGCTGTTGTTTTTGCGTCGGCGTGACCATTCTCGGCACCCATCTTGCACTGACCTTTGTCATGCCAAAATGATCGTGCAGAATTCTAAAAATGGTTGTATCAGATACTCCAACCATTTCTGCGAGTTGTTTCTTCTTTAGTCGAGCATCGTCGAGGACAATTTTTTCGACTTTTTGGATAAGTTCTGGCGTGATCACCTCGATGCGCCTGCCCGGCCTCGGGTTGTATTCAAGGGATTCCCTTCCTTGTTTAAATAAACTGTGCCATTTGTACACCATGGTTTTTCCTGGACAAGAGTCGCCGTAAACCAATGACATCTCATTCATTATTGTCGCAACTGATTTTCCTTGCTTGGTAAGGAACTTTATAACGGCACGATATTCGATTTTTTCCATGTTTCACTTTTCACCCCCTTTTATGTTGCTTGGTTGACGAGTCACTGAACACGTGACGATTCTAATGAGCCTAATCACCCCCCTTCCAACCCTCTCATTCCGCAAACTTAAAAACGCACCCTCGTAGATCATTTTATTTTATAGAGCATTTGATTAATACCATTAGTGTGAAATGGGCCAGGCCCTAGTTCTGTAGTAGTAGTAGTAGTTTCACAATTCTCAAATGAAGAAAAAAGTCTAAAGAATTTGAGTGTCTAAATGCAACACCCTAAGTCCCATGTAACCCGAATTCACAACTAATTATAAGTATACTAACAGTAAAGATTTCATAGATCCGAATTAAAATAATATTTTCAGACATCTGACACACAACACCATCCAGTTTCAAACTAAGCAGAGCTTGTACTATGAAAGCTAAATTGACTGGTAGAATACTTACATACTTTTTTTGTAAGTACATACATATTATACCTATAAAACACTCAAACTCCGAAACAAATATTTGCAGATCATACAAACATTTGGTCCGACCCGGGCATCGAACCCAAAACCACTGCACAGTAGTCGCATATGCTACCGCTGCACCACCGAGGCAGTCTGCCATTTCTAAATCATTTCCAAATTACTCGTACACAGGTCAACAAAAATTTTACCCAGAAACCAAAGTGTACTTTTTCTAGGATTTTGGTACACTGAATCCAAATCCGGCCGCAGAATTGCTCTATCACGTCAGGCTTTTGAGATATTCTAACCTAAAAGTGCAAAAAATGCAATCCAATTTTTAAGGTAATGACGTTGAATTTGCTTAAATATCTTTTTTTAAATAAAAAAATACTGCCCACCCCAAATTCAGCTAAGCAAAACTTTAACTGAACTACAAGCTTTTAAACTAAGCAAACCTTGTTCGCTACCATCTCAGCGAAAAAAAAATATATTTGAGCAAACTCAACGTCATTTGAAAGCTAAAGACTTGAACTTCAAGATACCCTTTGTACTTTTTTAGGCATAATAATACACATTAAAATATTTTAGGCATAATTACACAACCTCAAAAATTGGCAAAAATAGCGTTTTTTGAACTTTTAGATTAGAAATCTTAAAAAACTGACGTGATAGAGTAATTCTGCGGCCGAATTCCGATTCAGCGCACCAAAATTCATTGGGAAAGAATATCCTGGTTTCTAGGTCAGAAACTTTGACAAAATTTTGTTGGCCTGTGTTGTTATTCTATTTACTTTACATATATACATCCATACCTGGTTTTTTGGATTCATTTAGTGACAGTGAATTCAATCTTTTGATCCCTTTTAGTTCTTCAGCTCTGTCCAAAGCCTGTGCCGCTAAACTTGTAATTTTTGCTTTAGTTTCTGGATCACTTGTTTTCTAAAAAAATTATTTAACATGGTTTTGCTGTGACTCATGACTCAAATTGATTCTGTAAGTTTGCATTTTGGACTGGATGGCTTACTTGTTAGAAATACAGAAATTCACAAACTGATCAAAACTATTGTTGTATAAGTGAACATCGGCATAAGTGAGCCAGGTTGACCGGAGTGATACCAATTACCCAGTTAACTAATTTTTTAACTAAAAACTTCTTTAGGCGCGTTGAGCATTTTTGAAAGAAAAAAAAAATGTTTTGAGATGGGGAAAAACCATTGAACTCGCGATACTGTTACCGTTGCCGTTACTGTTGAGTTTGGGTTGAAATACGTTGATAATATAACTATATATACCTAATATAAACATATAGTGTGTACATACGTACAACATAGATATTACATTACACATTAAATTCATGTCGGAACTTTCTGAATCGAAAAAAATACACACGTAATTGTTTAAGTTTTCATTTCTGTCGGCACTCCCAGAGTCGGCACTGCCACTGTTTTTATTTAGTTGTTTTTCACCTAGCGAGTGAGGGCACCAGAGTCCAAGCGCTTCTCTGAGGGAGGGACCATTGAGTCCCTCCCTCAGAGGTGGGCGGGACCTTATGATTCTTGAGGTACAGCTGTCCATGGTACTCACTTAGCATCCGGTGACCCATCTGCTTTTTATTTTAATATAGACGGGCAGACGGGTCACCTGATGGAACGTGACCATCGCCGCCCATGATGGTCTGCAACTTAGAAGTCACAAACATGTTGCTGGTCTTTTAGGAAGGAGTACGCTCTTTTCTTGAAGGTACTCAATGCTCAATATATTTATTGCATTCCACAATGTTTACTTAGATGGTAACTTAAATATAAGATCAGATCATCATAGACCCTGTTGGGCACAGCAATAGATGAGAGACGGAGAGATAACACAAACTAACAATAATGAAAGAACCTTTGACTCCTCTTATTACAAAATTATTTAATGAAATATTGCATAACCGAGTCATACCCAAGGAATGGAACACATCTATAATTTCTCTTCTCTACAAGAAAGGCGATCCACATGATATTTCAAACTATAGACCGATTAGCCTACAACAAACAATTTACAAGGTATTTACTGCTGTCCTACTTAAAAGAATCATTAAACAACTAGAATTCAATCAGCCCCGAGAACAAGCAGGCTTTCGTCAAAGGTACTCTACCGTTGACCACATATTTACCCTAACACAGATCATTGAAAAATATGAAGAATACAATAAAACGTTATACATCGCTTTCGTCGATTACTCTAAAGCGTTCGACACAATATTACATGACCCTTTATGGAATGCACTGAAAGAACAGGGAATAAATGAAACATATATTGAAGTTCTCAGAGAAATATATAAAAACAGTTGGGCAGTTGTGAAACTGGAACGGAAAGGAAAACCATTTCGAATGAGAAGAGGAGTACGACAAGGTGATCCAATCTCTCCTAACTTGTTCACTGCACTCTTGGAGCATATATTCAGAAAACTAAACTGGGAAAAAATAGGCATTAACATAAACGGCGAATACATTAACCATCTACGATTCGCCGACGATATTGTTCTGATGGCGGAAGGATATGAAGACTTGGAGTACCTACTGAAGACGTTGAACATAGAGAGTCAAAAGTGCGGATTACATATGAATCCTAATAAGACCTGCGTTATGACCAATAGAGAGAAGATCCCTTTGGTTATACAATCAAGAGAAGTACAGTATGTTGATGAATATACATACTTGGGACAAATTATATGCTTCAATGATCAGACGAAAAGAGAAGTTGAAAGTCGCGTAAAGAAAGCTTGGGCTAAGTATTGGTCGCTCAAAGAAGTATTTAAATCGAAACTTCCTGTCAAACTAAAGAAAAAAGCAATGGATACTGTGGTTTTACCTACTTTACTGTACGGCTGCCAAAGCTGGGCGCTTACAAAAGAAATAAAACATAAAATTAAAGTATTCCAGTCTGCGACAGAAAGAAGCCTGCTAGGTTTTAAGCTAAGCGATCGAAAACGAAACACCGACATAAGAAAAATAACTAAAGTCATAGATGCCGCTGAGGTATTATGCAGATTGAAATGGAGATGGGCTGGACACATAGCGAGAACAACCGATGGACGATGGAGTGAGAGAGTCCTGCACTGGTACCCACGAGATGCAGTTAGACCACGCGGCAGGCCAAAACGACGATGGCGCGACGATATCGTGGCCCTTGCTGGGCCAAACTGGACGAGACTAGCCAAAAACAGAAACCTATGGTCAGAAATGGAGGAGGCCTTCACCCAGAAGTGGGTTCCCCTTTAAAAATTAAAAATGAAATAGAGAAAATGAAATAAAGTAAGAATCAAATAAATGAATAAAAATAAATAAAAAGATATACCTATGTAAAGTGAAATTAGTTTGTTGTTATAAAAATCTACCAAATGTTGAGTTACTTGTTATGGGAAATAAAAGGCTATTATTATTATTATTATTATAACAATAATGATATTTCGGTTTGAAGGTCGTCAAATAATCTATGGTGTATTTTTGCAACTATTAATATTTAAGTGGTTCAAATAGTAGTCATGATACTTATGAAAAATATCTAAAGTCATATAAGGATTTGAGACTATAATAGATTTGTTGATGACAAGACAAACCATATTTGGCTAGCTGGAAAGGCAAAGAAGGTAAAATAATACCTACAAAAGAAACAGCCAACTCCACAGCCTGCATATACAGTTGTAACGCTGAATCTTTCAAGTTGCCCTCGTCTGCACCCAAAGCTTGTTGCATAAGAAAATAGCATTGTTGCATTGCCCGTTCACTTTCTGCTTGCTGTGCTCTATCTGGTAACAAAATAATGCATTGTCATGGTCAGAAGAAAAGCACTAACACAAACAGTTTATGGTGTTTCTACTATCATAATAATAATCCATACTAATTTTACAAATGCAAAGGGTGTCCATCTGTCTTTCTGTTACCTCTTCAGGTTAAAAGGCTTTGTTCTATTTCGTAAGGTTTAGCCAGCATTTGCAATGTAACGCACAAAAAGATGTTTATTACGACAAATCTTTAAAGTGCTCAGATTTTCTCTGCTTTAATATATGCATGTATTATAAATATAAAACTTTCTCTTAAATCACTCTCTCTATTGGTGGAAACTGCATTAAAATCTGTTGCTTAGTTTAAAAGATCTAAGCGCACAACCCAATAAAGCAACTTAACAATCAAATCTCGACCTCCTCTTTTTTTAATATGGTTTAAAATTTTAACTAGTCTTTTATTGTTTCTCTATTTAGTTTAATGTGCATCATTATTTTGTATCAAAAACAAATGTCAGAATGTAGACAGTACTAATTGATTTTGATTATTTAAAAAAACTGATAAAACATTTACTGAGCAGTAACTTCAAAGAGAATATTAAATATTTATATTTGAGTTTGATAAATAAAACAGTATTAAAATTTAAATCATTTCTTTATATATATAATTTTTACATATGAGTACAACTATCTAGTGTGCATGATTCACTCACTTGAGTATGTGTTGTTTGCATACAATTTCAACATAACGCCAGGATCTCTTTTTAAGGTAGATAATCATGGCCTTTGTACAGAGGTGGCTGGCTACTATTGTGTCCAACTACATAAGGGTTATTGAGATAATACTTGACATAGTTAATAATGTATGCTCAGTGTTTCTCTAGGTATGAGTCATCTCACTTACTCTTAAAAAATTGCCACTTAATATAAAAATGTAAACGATAACAAAGTTGTACCTTTCTGCTCACTTAATACAGTAGCCCGTTCATGGTATTCACGTACTTTATTCCTCAGTTCCAGCTGTTTATCAGGCGGGAAACGATCCCGTATTCTATCCAGAAGTCTTGCTGCAGTTCTGTAACATTCTACAGCTTTTTCCGTCTGCCCCGCTTGATCGAATTGGACAGCGAGAGATGCAGCTTCAGTGGCATTAGCAAAATCACTCATTTTAATAACTTATCACCAAAATAACATAAACAATCTGATGTCATGAGCTTTCCAAAATAACAGATCGCAATCAAAGCCAAAATCGTGTTTCATTTATGTTCTTGTACTTGAATTTACACATTCAAGTAAACAAAAGGAATGGAAAAAGTTGATTTGAATTAGTGTAAGTAGGATGGAAATAGTCCAATGCTTTAATCTAATACTATAATAGATAATTTTAATCACTGGAACAAAAAATTACAATTTGACTGTCAAACTGGAAAACGTTCGGAAAGAAACGAAAGCTTCCGTCGTTTTGCTTTGATGATAATATCAAACGGTAAATCACCGATTTTTTTTTGGGACGGGAAAGACAGGGACAGAGGCAAAATAAAATGATGTTTGTTTTGTTTTCGGCGACTGAACCTCAGGATTCGTATCGTCACCATGGAGATTTAAAAAATGGAGCAAGCCTAAAGCCGAAAGCGTGATGCCAGGTGCAAAAGAGAAAGCTGTGGAGAGGCCTCTTGCTGTCTCATAAAGAGCACTGGACTGCGCGTGCTCGCCTAAATAGAAAAACACAACCAAAGGGGGCCTTTCGACTGGTTTCTCTCTCGCACCTGGCATTACTGCAGAGTATAAGGCTAGGTGGAGATAGCTGGCTCTATTCTTATATCTCAATGATCATCATTCGTCACTCGATCACACATTGTCACTTAAGTAAGACAATGACGTGAGTTTATGAAATCTAAATTCAAAATGTTGACAATTAAATGTAACATTGTAGTAAAGAATAAGAAATGAAATATAAGTCATGCAAAATAGAATATTAATGAATAGATCTCTGAAAATTACCTTGATGTTTTTGAAATCATTTTCTCATTTTAAATTAGCATTTAAGATCTACAGGTATTTTGAAATTAGTTAGCATATCGTGCATTCTCACGCTATGTGTACGCTACGTGAAAGTAATAATTTAATCTTATGAAATTGAAAAAAATCATGGAAATATAATAACTTTATTAAAATAGAATAACAAATTCTAAGTTTTTTGCAAGATAATTAAAAAAACAACCTTTAAGTCGTCTTATTACTTCTACATAAAACTTTTAGGACGAGCTGTGGTTGGTTTACGTATACACATTAAATTAAAATGCTGTCTTTTTGTAAATTTCTTTACAAAATTCAAGGGAAAACGCTACTCGGTAAAACGTTTTCTTGTAACATTGTAAACTTAAGTTTCAGAACGAACTTAAAATTTTTAGTTCTTTTGATTGCAATTATTTTTCGAATAGTGGCAAGAAAAACGAAGAAAACGTCATATCAGTGTGAAAATTGATTGTCTTGATCTTTCGTTTGCAAGAATTAGCAATGAATTAAGGCATTGTATAGATCAAATTTTAAAAATCTCGTACGTCTGTAAATTTATTTTTGATTTAATTGTGAAAACCAAAGTAAAATATTTGGCGGCTTAAATATGGCATCAGATGCTGTAGCTAGTGCGGGTGCTGAAATTCGTGAGAATTTGGTAATATATTTACTTATTTCTGCATTTAAATTAAGGTCATATTGTACCTAAGTGAATGTTTGTCTATACTTTTATTGGTCATCGTATGACCAATAAAAGTTTAAAGTAGTTATTTCTTTGATTATCCGAATGTGACCTTCGTACTGGCTATAAATGTAATTTACCTTGTTCAATCAAAGTGATTAATTTCTTTATCTGCTCCAAAACATCACAGTAGTCTATGATGACACCAGAGACATGGACTTAACTTTTATATTGCTTAGTAAAAAAACTAAATGTATTTTATTATGAATTATAAAAAGAAAAAAACTTATTTAGAGTAATAATATAATAATATACTTGTACAGTAATTAGTTAATGATTTGAAATGTAAGTTCAGTATCAAGGTTATAACTTTAAATTAACTAAGAAGCTTTCTCTCTTTTCAGTAAATTCATTTCATATCGAAACCGAATATACTCAATCCTAGAGTCACCTTTTTACCTGGCTGTGGGATATTTTTTTAAATTTATGAATGTTTTTGTATACCTAGTAGTTATTTTGTAATTGGAATGTCTTACTAAAACATTATTTGCGTAGTAATTTGTATTATTAACAAATCATATAGGCATAATACAGAAGACAAATTATTTAACATATGAAGCCCATTGAGGAGTATTCCACCATCAAGGGTATTTGACGACCATTGATGGCGGAATACTGTTATTTTTAAATATACATTACATACATAAATATACATTTTCAAGATTATTGAAAATTATGTATCTACTTATATGAAAAGAAATAATAATATAACAAACAAACCAATAAAGAATACTTTAATTAATTAAATTAAAATTCACTAAAATATATTTCTGGAGAAGGAGGAAATAAATAAAAGGTTTAAAAACTTCATTATTTTTAGTCTCACTGAATGTGCTGTGGTGATGTTTCACGAATATAGCTAGAAATACAAATTCAAAATCTATATAAGGAATCTAAAACCAACAGTATTATTAAATTACAGTCAGAATTACATTGACCTACCTAAATGTGACAAGAATACCCATCTCTATCAAAACATTTTTGATTTTTTAACGACAACTTCCGCACTAGGAATATATCCTGTGTCGCAGGTGACTTTATAAACATACATGAAAAAGACAAAGAACACAGGAATTTGTAAATCACACAAAGTGTGGGATCGAACCCACAACACTCAGCTTAAACCACGTCTGTGCCGTCAATATGCAGGCATACCAGATACATAAATAACATGCACACAGTAAAAATATAAACGTATGACTCTGGGTTCTTTGATAAATAATGCATATAACTTGTAAAATAAAACATTTCATTTTATGTTATTCATCATAAAATAAATATGAATTTATTCATTCTATTTGAGTAAATGAATAAATGAGATGAATGACAAAACTATTTAATTATACCAAAGACAATCTGTGGCTTATCAATTCCTGTGCCAATTTACAATTTGTAATATGAATCAATTAATCTTTAACTCTGTTACAACACAAAAATTAAAAACCTAAAATGATAGAATACAACTGATTTAGGAAGTCTCTCAGAAATCGAGAATCACACTATCATTTAAATTACTTCTGAAATATGTCACATTACATTACTTCAACTCAGTATTATAAACTCTTACTTAATTACAAATTGTTTAACTTAAATTAGAATTATTTTATGTCATTCAAATTGTGCAAAGTTACATTCTCTAATCACAGAATGTCAGTCTCATAGCCGTATCTGTCAAAATGCACTTCTGAAATTAAATTTGATCATAGAACATGAATGTCTCAATAAAAAAAGGTATATTGTATCGAGTTACAGTAAAACTATTCATTATTTTGTTTAGATTATACATTATTAGTAGTACATTGACCCTATTTATTTTAAATTAATTTATTAACAACACATTGCCATATCAATGAAGACGAATAATTAATTATTAATGTTACCTAATTAGTAAACAACACTTATATTGGTATTAAAGTGGTCCATTTACATCCACAAATACGCAGTCAATTCACACATTCAAGTTAGTCTGTTAGTTGTTTGTGAGACCTGAAAGTCAGAATGCAAGAGTAGATCCAGCTTGAAACCCAAAGGGTTTGGTCCAGTCTTGTTCTAGTCAATGCTTATGACAAGCTCTAATTTGATTATGTACTTCATCATGGGCACTGGACCCAGCTTAGGGTGGGGACATGATCCTCGTGACCCTCTCTCTGAATCCTCTAGTGAGATATATTTTTAAAATTTTAGGTACATTACTCAAGTTATTATGTGTTTACCCACCTATATATATTTATGTAATGTAATAAATATATAACCCTGTACTATATTCTCCAGACGCCGTAAATGATAAAAATGTGATAACATACATACAGGCACAAGAATTGTTCAGGCCTATTACACAAATATTTATCCTTAATTAAATTATTTTCTTGATGACGTAATGACATAGGTGTTTCGCACGTTTGTAAAACACATATTATTATAACAAATGAAAAACTACTGCCTAAACTATCATACTTATGTTTTTTTTTATCAAAACATTCATAAAGTGAAATACCTCAATTGAAAGTTTTATATTAGGTCTTTATTACCTATTATATTTATAAAACTGTTATTCTCTCTATATCAAAAAGTTTGCTATTAGTAGTACTTACATTGCAAACGCTGACTTAACCTAGTAGATAGATCAAAATAATGTACTACAGAATTGTATATCTGAAAAAGATCTACAAAAAAGACACAGTAACAATGTTTTTCTTTTACACATTACACTAAAAATTGAACATTGGACTATACAGTATTATTCCTTATCCAATTGCGTAATAATACGATAGATACGTTGTGCATTTAATGTTGATCAAAATGGTATTTTACAGCATATCATTAAAATGAATATCTTAGAAGGATCGTACGTCCTGGGTGGCTGCGGCCGGCAGGATTGTATATAAAGACGTCCTGTAGTATAGTATAGTAAAGTAATTACTCCACACTGACACTACATCAGTAGTATCTAAATTGCACCCGTGCGTCCCGTGGGGAGCCGGGGCGGATCGTTAGTGATGAATAATGTCGATTCGTCGATCGAATCGTATGCGCGTGTGTTGCCGGGTGCTCGTTTCTGTAAGACCCTTGACTTATGAAAAAATAACACTATTGGTTATATATTACTGCCTTAAATTATTAAATAATACTTGATTCTGTTATATAATGCAGCATTTTGTTTCAGGTAACAACTGCAGTAAAATTTCTAACAAATCCAAGCGTACAGAGATGTACGTTAGAGAGTAAGGAACGGTTCCTTCGATCCAAAGGTCTTTCAGAACCTGAAATACAAAAAGCAATAGAGAAATGTGCTGAAATGCTAGACGTGCCATCTATGACGTCAGAGCTCATGTTCTTCCACCAATCGAGGCGGTCCTGGTTCAGAGATAATGTGTTACCAGTTCTGGTGTACGGAGGATTCATGTATGGATGTTACTGGTTTTATAAGGTAAAAATTGTTACTCTAACTGTAACTGTCATTGTAGTTTCTATCTTTCGTGCGGAAATCCCCTTGGATATCCTCCCGGATCGATGGGATGGGATGCAACGATCGGTGGGATTACGGTATGGTTATGTCGGATTCAAACCAACTAAAACCTGCACGCCATCTCGGGTACTAGTAACTAAGGAACCAGGTATATACAATAGAAATATCTTTTCACTTTTAAACGTGAGTACTACTAGTTATTGTTTATCTTAAATAAAATACTTCAATCACAAGTGAGTGAAGTCTGACGGTGAGGATGATAGACACGCAAGCTTTAGGTAATAATGACTAGTATATGTACAGGAATTTAACCTTAATAAAAACAAAAAACCTAGTTAATGCGCGGAACAATAAAAAAAAGTAAATGCACGACCTCGCCTCCGTTCCCTTCCGCGAAATTACTCCAACAGATTAAATAATTATCCGTCCCCCCCATTTGAGATTTGTTAATTTGCCAAAGAGTTAAATTTATTTTATTAAAATATAAAACAATTACGATAGCAATTAACTGTAGTTAAGTATCATCATCAACAAAAGGAGGTTTTGGCCTACTATACCACGCTGGCCAGACGGGTTGGTACAGGGTTTGTTTCAAGTTTTCCTTCTCTTTGCAGTGCTGTTGTCCTGCGTAATTTTCTCCGTTAGTCGGCTCTTACGACACCCACGGGGTGAATGGGGGTGGTGACATTCCGTTTTCTTAAGCCGTCACCACTTAAGTATGAATATTATAATTCTTACTTTGCTCTCCACGGTTTAAAATAAGATTTTGACAGACCCCTCCCCCCCCCCCCCTCCATTTCGAGTTCGCGTAATAAATAGAGGCTAAATTGCAGTAAAATTAGGAAAATAATTATTTAATAAATATATTATATATAAGAATAATTTTATACTTTAAAATTGATATTTGAAACAGTATACTACAAAACTAATGTTCTGTATATCCGATGGTTTTGCGTAAACAATAAGGTATGTAGCTTATAACCGGTTGGTTTAATGTATGACGATATTATCTATAAATGAGTATGTATGTAACTAGTGTTACATACACATACATAAATAATTACGATACTACGGTACGGTACGTTTGGTACGTATGCATGTATTATATTTATCGCATTTTTCCTGTCTAACTTATCAATAATTTTCTTTTACTTTACAAATCAATGTCTAGGGCACCTAGTCACACATTTCAGCACCACCCTAAGGTAGACTGGAAGAAAATACCTGTGGCGTTAAGTCCACCATTGTACAACTCATACTTGTGCATTAAGAATTAAATAAAATTAGTAAAATAATGTCTGTGACAGTAGGCCTTTGATTTGTCATTGAAAAACCTAACTCAAAATTAGAAACTAAACCCATTACGATATTTCCATTCTTACTGTTGAACAATTTCCCATTGTAAGAAGTCGCTATTGTTTTCGGGTTTTTTCATTAAATCTGGCGAGGCACTGGTATTTGTATTATTTGCAAACCTTTTTGGCTTATACCTACTTCACGCTCTGTTAGTGTAAATGTTTTTCGTTTATTACTCCAAACATTTATTAAGAAACTTTTTTTGTTATACTTACTTCAGGCTGTGTTAGTCAGCACAGTTTGTCTAGAATAAAATACAAATGTTGATTCTAGATTTTGTTCGTTTATGGTTTATTGGAACCATAATAAAAGTAGCTTATCTGTAAGTGAATTTTCACAAGAAAACGACCCCATTTTGTAGATTTGCTATTATAACGAGACTGGTAAATACTTTTAAATAGTTTTGTTTTTATTTAAGTATTTTTGAAGATGACGTCTGATAAAAGTCGGTTTGCCATCTCTCGGGTACATAAAAAGAGGTAAAACAGTGTAGCGACAACTAACGAAGACAAAACTAACTACGGAATAACTGTTATCCTGTATCGCGATATGAAAAGTTCTCACGCCGATTAGCATTACAACATCCCAAAAGCAATTTTAGGCTGTTAGGCCAGGGTCCGCCAGGCATGATCACCTCGCTTTGTTGGAGGATCCTCTATTTGTGTTGGAGAAATGAGACACCTTTTTCTCCACAAGAGTATCCTTTATCCTATCTAAACCCCGGATACAACACATTTCACGATAATCACATAAACTTACATTAGAATTTAGAGTATTAGTCAAATTGGCAAACAAATAAACAACCCGCTTGTTGATAAGCTAAGCGGTAATTTTTCTAGAAAAATTGAATATCACACCCTTAATCCAAAACTGACACTATCCAAAATTTTGCGAAATCGACTTTTAATGCAATCAGTTGTAAAACGGGGATTCGCATATAATCGCGCTAACACATGTTTAAAAGTAACATAAATAACCGCTAGATTGCACTAGATTGCAGTGGTCCATTTCGTCACTAAACAAAATATTTCCCTTCCCTGAGAGCAAAGCTGACCTTTAACGTAAAATTACATATAGTCGAGAACCAATTTTACAATTTTTTGTGCAGTGTCGTTTTAGTGGTTAACGCCGGTATATTACTTTTTTAAATTGAAAAAGTGTCATTTTACGTTTATTGTCACAATTTTGTACTAAAGTTTTATTTAATTCAATGGATTGGTCAATTTGGCTTAACCCTACAGAAATTGTTCGTTACAACTTAGTGTCACTGCTTATATTTTTTTAGATGTTATTGTTTTCTCAAAAAAAAAATAAGATGATGATTGACGATGACATGACATCATTGAGATCTTTTTATCTAAATCTAGCGCTTCTATAGTATCGGCAGGAGCAGGATCTTTCCCTGGATGGTGTTGCCTCACACAGGTGACATGCACAGGGAAAGCTCTAACAGTGAGCTAGAAAACCTCCCACTCCCTGTTATTTCACCCGCTAAAAAGAAGCATAAAGGTGTAATAATGCCTTATAATATAAATAAATGATAAAAGAAATGACTAAGGAGCTGCGTAATTCAGGAAAATAATACGTTACACTATCCAAGACCAAAAAAATTATTGCAGAAAAACGCTTGAGTCCTCTCTGTGCAGAACGATGTTGTCGAAGCTGTTTTTGGATCTTTTTATGTAACCTTTAATATTGTTTGCGTTAGTAATTTTATTAAAACCAAGATTTAAATTTTGTATCCGAACAAATTTTTGTTTTGTGACAATTCCTGTAAAGTATTTTTGTAGTAAGTATAAATTTTCTGTCCTCGTTACGTTAGATAAAACATATTTTAGATTCTCACCTATTACTTATATTGCTACATGACAAAGTGTTTTTGACTCTCCTGAAAAGTTGTTTTTTTTTTGGATAGTGTCAGTATTGGATTAAGGGTGCGATATGCCAGAGGAGCATAACAAATAAAAACTTCTGAAAAGAAAGATATTTTCTGTTTTTCCTTGAGTGCGCGCCCCATCTATCTTCCGTTTCATTCCCTTCCGTACATTAATTGTGATCTATCTATTTATTTCCACAGAACTACGTAAACACACAAAAGTCAGGGGAACTTGTCCTTACTTGAACCCCGCCCCTCCCTACTTCTCTTCCGTACATTCATTGTGTTCTATCCCTACAGAACTATGTCAGACATCTGTTATTCGTGGAGCAACCGAAACGAAAATCCACAGCGGATTGTATCGACGAACTGCGCAAGAGTCTGGATATATTGAACGCTAATGTGACGTCACTACGCGGCGAGATGCAAGCCAACGCACACCAGAGCGCGCTGCGCTCGCAACTAGACAATATTAAATCTGACATCGCCAGTGTTAAAGGAATATTGCTGAATAGGTAAGAGTTTAAATATACATTATCTATTATGTGTTGGTTTCAACATTTCGACTTTTGGCGGTTTTATAAATACCCCGTTCCGTAACCCACGGGTAAAAGGATATCTATGTCCCTATCACTTCTAAGTTGATAAAGTTAGATATCAATGGTGTGTATGAATATTGTAATTTAATTTTTAATGTGTAGTTTCATTGTATGAGAGGAACCTAAATAGTGTGTGTTTGTCGTGTGGTGCGTGTTATTTGCGGCCCTTCTTCCTCGTCCTCTTTCCCTTACTCGACATTGCTTAATGTCTGTTGTGTGTCCAGTGTATGAGTTATGTTGAGTGGGTCTGGTGTGTCTGGTGATTACGTCATGTTTGGCGATTGTTGCAAAGCCTGAGGTTGTGGGTCCTGTGACTGATGCATGTTTTGCGTTTCCTGGGTATTTTGTGTGTGTTTGTCCTGTGTGTTGTGTATAACTACCGTATCTCCCAAAACTTTACTGAGAATGGTCACTGTGTGTATGGCTGCTTGTGTTTGAAGGCTGGTTATATCAATGTTGTCTTCCAATTTATCTATGTATTTCTTATGCTTTTAGCGACTATTCCAGTTGCGCCTATAACTATCGGAATGACAGTCGTCTGTGTATTTCACAGGCGGGTGACTTCAGTTTTCAACAGGTGGTATTTGCTCAATTTCTCAATCTCCTTAACGCCTATATTGTAATCGGATGGTACCATCCGATTACCGGTGATGTCTATAAAAAATGTTTTATTGCTAGTTTTGTCGATATGTATAAGGTCAGGTCTATTGTGCGTTACGGTTGTATCTGTATGTACGGGCATTTCCCAAAGGATTTTAGTGGATTCATTTTCTTTAACTTATTTTTGTATGACTGTTTCTTCCCACCAAAGGTCAGAGACTTCCATTTTGTGTTTTTGGCCAGACATCAGTAGACGTATTGGACAAGGTTATTATATCGTTTAACATAATAGGCCTTCGCCAGTTTTTCTCATCCGGATATGATATGCTGACCACTCAGCAAATGTCGCATATATGCATGCAAGGATGAGACCACCTCATCCTTGCAGGCATATATGCGACATTTTCCGTCTACTATTTCTTTCAGTATATCGCGCTGATGCTGTCGGGTCATGATGGCTTGGTCTTGTATAGCAACTATTGATGATTCTAATTTGGGAGATATCTGTTGTTTCTTAATCCATTTAAACGAAACCTCTGCATGTTGGCTTGATCAATTACTTTATGCGGAAATTGCAATTGGGTCTAAATTGCGATGTGTAATATTGCCGTAAATAGAACTTAATTAATAATAATTAATTGGAGCATTTGGTGCACGACACACTGACATCTGACTATGTATCATTTTAACCAGACAGCTGATAAACATACTAGTATATTTCTAAATACATACATGTTATATTTAATAGATAAATTACACTCAGACATAACAAATCGTCGTCCTCATCCCATACACATATGCATTATTGGACAAATTGAGTGGGAATCGAACCACAACCGCTGGCTCAGAAGTGAATTATCATTAAATTGCAGAATATTAACTCAACTTTAACCCCTTTCTTATTTTCAATTTGTTAAATACTCTTTCAGAAACCAATTCCCGGCTTTAAAAGCCCGACCGGACCCCCCATCAATTCCAGCTTGGCAGCGGCAATCGGAACAGGCTGTCTCCACGGAAGCAACTTCAGAAGAAAAAAAGAAGACGCACAGAAGTAGAAGCCAGCGGTCAGAATCTGGCGGCTCGAACTCAAGCGAGGGGGAACAGGCGACTAAGAATAGTGACAGCAGCTTGGAGATCATGTGAGCGGAGTTAATAATTCGTAATGTAAAAAACAAAACAATACTTCTAAGCATGAATTCATTGATACTACTTTTTGCATGCGTGGTGACTTCTACTAATTCACGGAACTTTTCCAGGCGAATAGTCCTGTGATTTTAAAAATACTGGCACACGGCACGGTCTTACTAAATGTTATTCATTGTGACCTCAAAAGATCTATTAAGAAACTCCTGACCAAATATATAGTATAGCTACAAGTGTCTCGCCATATTGCCAAACCCCTATGTCCACTAAAATCCATTGAAAAGATCCATGATGGATTTTTGTGGATGTTTCGTGCCCACTTTAATACCCTCAACAGATTTTTATGAGAAATGTATCTTTTAAGATATGCAAGTTTAGATGACCGTTTTGTATTTTTCTCATCGATTTATTTTACCTATATTCAATTACTGTCAATAAAATTGCAATAAAAAATGAAAGTAAAGCGCCTCGTATACCACTAACCTTTAATGGATTTTTCGAAAATATCTCCTAAAAGATCCACTTTTCGTAAAAATCTATTGAATGTATGAAAGTGCACAAAAATCCATCATGGGACTTCAATAGATTTTAGTGGACAGAGGGTTGCCAAACTAGCAGCCTCATTTAAGCGGTGGGAAAACCCTGCTTCGGCAAATATAGACCGGCTTGACCGTGACACCATAGCCTCACACAGGCATTTTGCAATTCTTTCATTTCTTTTTACCGAGTTAGGGAAGTTACCGTAGACCTAATCATCCCAAAATTCAGGGAGGGGATGGCATTCAATAGGCGACAACTGACTCGTGTCCATGGCAGGTTGGTACCATTAAGTGACCCGTCTGCTTTGCTCTTTACAACATAAAAAAATATTAAAAACATTGACTGCCTAGGTGGTGCAGTGGTAGCGTATGCGACTGCTTCGATCCCCACACGGGACAACACTTTGTGTTATCCATAAATTGTTGAGTCTGGGTATTCCTTGTGTCCGTTTCATGTATGTTTGTAAAGTATCTCGCGACACAGGATTTGGTATATCTTATATCTCATAAGAGGATGAATCAATTTAAAAGCAGATCTACGGACAATAGGATATCTTGCTGCCGTCAAGAATATTTGTTTTTTAAGTGGTAGTGTTCAATGTTGACCACTTACAGGTGGGAAGCTAACGCCTTCTTTACAAATAAAAGTGCAGGATAAAGACACAATATTATTAGTATTATTATCCTTTTCTGCTTTGTGTATATGGCAATACGCAAATATACTATGTTACTTGTTTAGTAAAATACTATATATATATATATATATAATAGTACAAGCGGGTAGTTGGTTAAATATTTTCTGACGGGTCGATTTAGTATTCGGCACTTTGAATGCGAGCCGTGACTAGTGGAGCACCGGAACAAATACGGGTTGGGACTACACCAGTACCTAACTTAGTTTATCAATCCATCGATATTTATTGAGAACACATTTAGATATCAAACATGAATACAAAACAGGATTCTGAAGACGGATAAGCCTTACCGGTAAGTGGCTGTATTCTTGTTTATATTTACTCCGCGCCATCGCGGACGGTTTGGGGTCGCGGGAGAATTCCAAATACTACGATATATGTAAATAATAATGACCTTACACATCTTACACACGGCCGTCTGATTCCAAACCAAACTGAGCCTGTACAATAACAGCGGTTCCCGGATCCCTCCTATTGCAGGGTGTATTACTGTGTGGTTTTAGGTGGTCTGGTTCCGACACACCACCCCGCTGCACCACACGTAAATTTTTTTTTTAACTAAGCTGATGTAACCAGAAGTCGTAGATTCGATTCCGGCCCAGGACTAATTTATCTAAGTGTATAGGGGAACCTGTTGTACTTAAGGCCAGTTTTTAACATTTTCATATTTTTTAAATAAATGGTGAGAATAAGACCCGTCAAATATGTAGGTATATAATAGTAACATCAGTTCAACAATATAATTTATTAATAAAATCTGTGGCGTTTCCATAAAGCTAGGAACAAAAGCCGTTAAAAAAAACTGAAAACTGTCCAAGGTATCACATACGTAGGTCAATAAATATATTAATTTTTAAACACGCAAAAAGTAAACAATAAATACTTACAATTAATTCTCCACCACTTCTTCGGCATTCCGAAAAAGCTTACCTTTTATCTTATCTTTTATGGTGGAGAATAAAAAGGAGTCACAAGGAACCTAGTCGTGGCTGTAAGTTTAAGCTCCACTGTAGCAGACGAAAGAGCGGGAAATGATGACAGCCTAATATTTCTATTTTTTTTTTATTGCTGTAAATGGCCTTTCGTGTTCGATTCTCAAATAAATTTCCCTATTAATAATATACGACACAGATGTGTTCCATATCAAAATTTCGAGCATCTTAAAACTTATTTAGTGACCTACGTACCTTTTTTTTTTTTTTTTTTTTCCGTGCGGAAATCCCCTCGGGTACCACCTATCGGTGGCATGTCGGACTCGAACCGACTAAAACCGCACGCCGTCGCCGGGTACTAATAGCCGGGGAACCAGGTATACCCTAGAAAGGAAGTCCCTGGTGCCCCGACATACCTCGGGTCATCTACAGACGAGTAGACGACCCCCCCCGTGTGGGAACCCCATGTTCCCTGTGCTCCCTGGAAGCGAGCGCACTTCGCAACGCGCTCGCCGCCACCCCGGCCTGCTTCTGCTAGGGTGACAGATGGCCTCACCTGTCACCCCCAGGCCTGCGCTTATGGAGGACGGAGGTCGTTCTGCGACCTCCCGTCTCTCCCGGCCCGCCAGGCCCGTGCCCGGGCCTGGCGGGCCGGGAGAGTTCTAAACCTCTCCCGGTCCCGCTCCGCCGTCTCCTTCGCGAGCATAACTTGCTCGCAGAAGGAGACGGCAGAGTTCCACGCACTCTCGCTCCGCACGATAGCCGCAATCAGGCTATCGAGCGAGAGAACTCCCACTCCGATTGCCGCCACGAGGTCTCGCCTCTGCTCAACCCACGCCGGGCACTCTGCCAGCGTGTGGAGAGCCGTGTCCACGGTCTGGCCATCGCAGTGGTGGCACTCAGGCGTTGGCTCCTAGCGGATCAGACACAGGTGATCTCCGAAACATCCCTTCCCAGTGATCACCTGCGTCAATCGGTATGAGAGGGTCCCGTGACGCCTCTCGAGCCAATCCTCCATAACGGGTCTTACCGCCGCAATGACGGCGTGCCCGAATGACCTACGTACCTGATGTACATCAGGTACGTAGGTCACCGTACCAGTTGTTTTTTGGACATACCAGGATCAAATAAAATAAACACCATAAGTTGCTGTAGGAAGTTCTTTATTAATAGCATCGCATTAGATCATATAAACCTTAAATCTAATAAGGTTTTATTGTTATTACAAAAAACTTAGTAATAACCAAAAAAGTTCTATTTTTTCCTCAGACTGGCTTATTGAAGCTTAGAATAATAATAATTAGTGTAAATACATTGTAACAAAAATCCCAATATCAGTCCAAGGTAGTAGAGCGGCCAAAGTACAACATCGTAACAATTTTCTAAAACCACAAAGTTGAGGTATGTTTCGATCACCAATGCCATCTGTTACCTACATATCATCATCATCCTTTAACAGTCCACTGCTGGACATAAGCCTCTCCTTAGAAAGGAGTTTTTGGCTTACTACACCACGCTGGCCAGACGGGTTGGTATAGGGTTTGTGTCAAGTTTTTCTTCTCTCTGCAGTGCTGTTGTCCTGCGTAGTTTTTTCCCTTAGTCGGCTCTTACGACACCCACGGGAGGAATAGGGGTGGTGACACTCTGTATTCTTAATCCGTCACCACACGGACGGTTATATGTCCTACATTATTATTATTAAAAATGCATTTCCCACATTTAACTTAAACTACTAGTGCCATCTATGTGTACAAGTGCTAAAACTTTTTTATTTAAATTGAATTTGCAAACCTCCATTAGAATCTTACAGTTAATTATGATAAAATTCGTATGACAGGGCCTGGACTGCTGTTCCGACCACGCCATATCATTCCACTACGTACCACCAGAGATGATGTACGTCCTCGACTACCTCATATACCACTACACTATACACGACCTTACATTACTTACCTTACTTACCTTAAAATTTTGAGACGGAGCCCGCAACAGGAGCGGGCCGGCGCTAGGAGGGGTCCGGATGTCTTAATAACAGCTGTTCCCGGATCCCTCCTGTTACAGGCGCAGAGTGGCACACCGTGTGGTTTTAGTCGGTCCGAGTCCGACACACCACCCCGCCGCAAACCCCGGTGGGGTGACGGTCCGAGGGGATTTCCACAAGTAAAAAAAAAAAAAAAAAGGGTTCGTGTCAAGTTTTCCTTCTCTCTGCAGTGATGTTGTTCTGCGTAGTTTTTCCCGGCTTTTGTTAGTCGGCTCTTTCGACACCCACGGGATGAATAGGGGTGGTGACACTCTGTATTCTTAATCCGTCACCACACGGACCTACCTACATATACTGAGTCTAAATTAAAAATAAAAGATTTATTATAAATGTATCACCTGAAATATTTAATCATTAAGTAAAGTCCAAGAAAAGTACTTTTTTGAGCAAGAAATAATAAATTACCTATCTTTTTAATTTACATTCACGCGGCGCCGGCGAATCACAATTAACTTCACGTTAGACTTGACAAAAGGTGCTTCGACTGCCAGACATTAATATTTTTAAGCGCAGGAGTTTTAGAAAAATTCCGATTGTCCTAAGCCTAACACTGTCCTACGTAGCACGGGTTCCCCTTCATTTTGAAATATATAGCTATGTTTATTTAAAAATATATGTGGCCGGTTGACGGCAATACGTCCCCTATTATGTAAGTGTTACTATTACAGTAGGCAAAATATTGGCGTTAAATAAGAATCTACGGAAAATCTCGAATTTAAATACACACTTAGAGAAATTGTTTCTGTCTTTTTAGCACCTGAGGCATATTCGCGGCTTTTATGAGAAGAGCCACACTCATTAAGCAAGCCGAGGCATTGAAGGCTAAAGAAGACGAGATGTTGGATGCAAGTCGGTGTGGTCCTTTGTGTAACCTTTAATAACTCTGTGTGAGCTTCAAACAGTTTTAGTTAGAATTGATTTATTAAATAGATGGTGTAACAAAGTTGACGTTCCTTAATATTAAACTTAGGTATTTACCGTTTCAAACTAGTATTTTCTTTTACTGTTATTCTTTGTTACTTCCTCTGGTGATATTAATGTTCTTGTATAATGTATTCCTGAGTCTGAGTTCAAAATAGTGTAACACATCACGATATTAGGGTAATGTACAATGCTTTATTTTTATAATAACAATTGTAAAGGGGATTTGGTTGAAATCATGTATTTATAAATTATAGGTAGTATTTAAATTGTGATCATTCTTTGGGAGGAATATTGGTTTGTGACTATAGTCCATTCGTGTTAAGAAAATAGTGACGCATCGATAAGCCCCACTTCCTTACCGATCAGGTACCAAGCTTTCGTATGAAACGATGCCCTGACCAATCAGGTTCCAAGCTTTCGTAGGAACCCTAACCATTACCAATCAGATTCCAAGCTTTTATATAGATAATTTCTTGGAACGTGATTGGTCAGGAGGCAGGGCTTGATCAATGCGTCATTATTTTTTAACGCGAATGAACTGTATGCCATCATTTTATCTGAGAATTGTAAAGGATTGTATATTAAATTGTTATAGCTCAATGTTTATATGGTCTGCAATATTTATGTGATTTGTTTGGTGGTAAAACCTTTGCGATGTGTTGTACCATATAGAGATAAGGCCTCATGCTTATCAGTGGAGAATTTAAAAAAAACAAAATCTGAAGTCTTGTTTTATGTCTATTTGTGCATTGGTTAAGTCGTTCCAAGAACTAATTGCTGTCTGTCATTATTTTTTTCTTTTGATATTTTTCTTTAAAATACAATAACGTTGTATTCTTGATGTCTTATCTTTTTGATAACAATGAAGAAGCAAGGCCTACATTGTAACCAAAGTCAAAGAAATTTATGACAAATGTGTAACCGAATTGTGACGACAACTAGGTGTAATTTGTTAGTTTATATGTGACGGTTTTTAGGTGATATGGTTAAATTGTATATAATTTTGAGGTTGTTCTTGATAAATTAGATAATCCGATTTAGTAAATGCTTTTCCAGTAAAGAACTGAAATTGAGTAACATTTAATGTATTCAAACGCAATTACAATGTATGCAAACCTACTAAATTTTTATCATTATTATTAATTCTGTCAACATTGCTCAAAATACTTTTTATTTCTTTAAAAAATATTAAATTTGGTTTTTAATTTAAATGTCGTTTGCGTTTTTGCTTTTAAGAGTGAAAAAACCAACTACCAATACGGTCTTAATGAAAATAATATTAAAAATATTTTTTTAAACACTGACCTATGTAAGGTTCGCTTTTTAGCGCAATATATTTATTTGTTCGCATTGATTTTTAGTCCCAAATTTTATCGGATTATTTAGTGTATCAGTAATATTAAATTTTTAAAGTAATATATACGCATAATCATGTTTATTCTGGACTATAATTTAGTCTATAAGATTGATGTAACTAAATATTTTGAAGGGACGTACAAACATTAAAAGATAATATATTGACTGTAAATATTTTTTTTGGAGGGTGTCATGGAAGTAGGAGATTAAATCATGCCAATAATTTTATATTGATTTTATTTAATAACTAAAAAGTTTGAGCCATTACTTATATAGTTCTTCCTTTTGATTGCTCAGACTTGATTAAGACTTATTGTTGTATTATATGTACAACATTCCAATGTTGGTGTTTTGTGTACTCCTGTCGTGATAAATAAACCAATGATAATGATTATATGTTGTTTTTTTCTGTAACTAATAGCAAGTTGGTTTTTTAAACCAATTGTAACCAAAAGAAAAGGAAGGTTAGTATAATTTTATTTTTGCGTCTTAAATGCAAATTATATGTAGAAACTGAGATTTAACAGAATTCACATATGTGAGATGCATGACATACTATTTTCGCACGATTGATTTTTAACTAATTTTTAAAATTTCAACGGGAACGGGTATTAACGCAATCATGTAATATTAGAAAAGTTGAGCAATGCAAAGCAGTGCACAAAGCCAGTACAACATGCTAACTCAGCCAAAGAAATGAGGCAATGTATAGCTATGTAATACCTATTTCGTGATAACGTAAATTCCTGTATACATACAAACTTATATAACTTAATATTCAATGAAAGTACTGCCTGAGAACTTTTGTTGCGCGATGCAGATTCAGCTACAAAGTGTTTTTTTTTTCCGTTAGATTGCGCTTAGTATATGCACTATAGGTTCACTATTGTTATGAACACAAATAAAACTTCATAAATCCATTGTATGCACAACTTTATTTATAAAAATACATCACAAAGGTATAATAGTTTGAGCCTAATAATTGAAGGTCCTGTATTAGATAGAACACACATTAACAGTTTTACCAATTGAGATCAACGAGAAAACAGTTATAAAAAGGTACAAATATGACACCAAATAACCAGAGTTGCAAGTTTACAAATATCGAATTACATTAATTTTAAATATTGGCAACATTACATATCTAAAATTCAAGGCAAGATGCCTGAACAACCTTGATATGTATTTGAATGATAATTTGTTCCTAAAAAAATATATTAGAATCATTTTTGCTATAAAATAGCAAGTCGCCAAGCATAGAAAGATCTGAACTGAAACATTTAAGTATTTTCTAACACTATTTTTTATAACTTGGGAGCACTTAAGTTCTTAGGTCTATTTCAGTAAGCTATGTTCTTCCTGAACACCTCGACTGTTCAGCTACATTATAAGTACATCAACATCATGTGAGCGTATCATTATACTATACAAAGTATCAATATGATACACATTAGGATACACGAAGAATGCAAAGTAATATTTGTGCAAGAATCGTGCGTTCATTAGTAAATTCACTAATTCTAAAAAGTATTTAATCAACTCCAGTTATTTAGTGTAGTTTAAAGCCGCTTGGTAGTCGAGTGGCAACCCTTACACGAAGAACTACACTTAACTCAGTGTAAAATCTATGGCACGCCAAATACAATCAGAGTATCTGTAATTCTCGGCAGAAAGAGAGGTTGTTTCCACGTAATTTAGGTATTTATAAAATATATTCACCATCAGTGGTGAAGATAACGATTTGAATTAGATAAAAGAAATATACAAAAAAAAATGTTAGTAAATTCAGTTAAACTTTTTGAACGCAATTTTCGACGGCATCTAACGGTCAAAAGATATATGTCAAGATACACCTACGTACGTATTAAGGACAGGTCACGTGTGAACACAGATAAATAATAGCACCTAAGAAGAATTTTATATGTTTGGTGGGATACATGACGTTCAAAAAGTTAAAGATCCAAATTGCAAAAAAAACAACGTAAAAATACCAATATAAACACTTATTACTAAAAGCCATAAGACATGCATTATACTGGGATTGACAACAATTATAAATAACCACAAAAATATTAAATTGTGAAGGAGTACAGTGGGCCCCTTTTAAAATGGAACCCGTAATAATGTTAAAACTACAACATAGAAACAGACAACGTTTGCATATTTCATATGTGATAGTTTGTCTTTTGTGTGGTTAATTAATTTTTCGCTAACAATAAGAGAAGAAACTGTATTAACGGCAACATCGCATCGAGAAAAATAGTCTTAAAGTCTACAGTTACAAGATTGCCTTGCTTTTGTCTGCTATAAATATTTTTGTGTGTAGAACTTTCAATTTTATATTCAATATGAAACTGTCATTTTTCTATATTTATTCTCCATACAGGTTTCATTTCATGATCCTCGGCTAAATATGTTATCTTCATTAAAAATACAGCCATAAAATACGCAACACTTAATAAATTTCTGGATGAAATTCCGATCGAAAAATATTTAAGTATATTTTGTATGACGACTAAATAATAATATTCGTGACGAGAACATCTGGTTTTTTTTTCAGTTTTTAGGTACACATATTACACGAACTGTGATACGGGCTCATCAAAGTTCATCAACAGCCTTTACTAGTCCACTGCTGGACATAGCCTCTCCTTAGAAAGGAGGTTTTGGCCTACTATACCACGCTGGCCAGACGGGTTGGTATAGGGTTTGTGTAAAGTTTTCCTTCTCTCAAAGTTCTTCATCAAAGTTGTTAACGCATATTATTACTTAGTTTAACGATATCCAAAATACTTTCTCATGAACTGATAACAGTTACAATACTAGACTTAACACTATGACATATACATACATTAACGATCTCATTCCGATAAAAAAATTCAACAACTTTAAAACTGCTACGCTATGATTTACAGTTTTTCTCAGACAGTAAAGGCCATGCCTGGTCGTAAGATGTTACAGTCCAAAGATATGTACATTTCGATCAAATATGCTATAATTCCCTAAGAAAATTTGCTTTAAATAATGGCACCATACTGTAACTATATAATTTAAGTAAGAATTCATCCTATTAAATGAATGTTCGTCGTTAAATGAATGTAATGGATAGTTTTGGCAATTTATTATTACACCTAAAATGTGACATTGCAGGCTAATTTAAACATAGTTTGGTTCAATATCTACATGATCGAAGTATGTACATACTTTGTCGATTTCTTTCATACACATAATTATTCAAATTACTAGACTACTATTTAAAAAAAAATTAGTCAGTGACAACTAAATCGACAAATATAAAAAGTTTGAAAAATAAATTTGTTCGATATCAATCGATAAATTAAATCTAAGTCTAGCGTTGCACTTGCTAGCAGTATCTTACATAGCTGTGCCCAAAACCTATTCAATATCAACTTACAGTAATATTTTCTTCTCAAAGTTCTTGACCTTTTCGCAATTGACGATGACGTCATCCCTGTTCGCACCTAACAACTTCTCAGCCCTAGTCAAGTTTTCAATAAAGCACCTTCCTCTCTCAGTACGCATTATATGTCTCTTAGGAATCAAGTCTTTCGATAGATATGATATCAATTTCTGCCAGTCCTTCAATAACTTGAATGACGCTGAAGGTGTTCTGGTCTCAATCGGTACTCTACCATTGGAATGTTCAAAGAATACGTTAATAATTTCTTTAGGATATTTTGAAACTCTGCTAGCTTTGATAAATGAAAGCAGGAGCGCGTCAACGTCTTTGAGCGCGTTTATAATCGGTTTATCGTATATGTTGAAGTTTATTTCTTCGACGTTAGGGCCCACAATATACATAACATGGGTGGCTAGTCGGAAGGCCTCCTCAGCCCATACGTAGGGATCGCCGTGGGACGTTTTACAAATGTCTCCATCGAACATGATGTCGAAGCCGTATTCGGAACGAAGGTAGTTGATTAGAGAAGTCACGCATTCGGCGTGAAGGCGGTTTGCTGATGAATATACCACTAATATCTTTGGTGGTGTAGGGATTTCCATTGCTGAAATTTAAAAAAGTTATTAACAATTTTCAGTTAAGATTTTTCTTCATACTTATGAAATCAAAGTCATAAAAGGCGGTTTTGGTCGTTCTCTATTAAAGTTCAAAACATCGCTATGTTCATTGCAACGTTTAAATGTCAAATCGTTGAATGAATAGTGATTAGGACGTTTACATACTGACTATGACTCGCAGTTACCACCGTACAAAGCCACCCCTCCTTCAGGTCCGGAACTAGTGGCTCTCAAATGTGCATAAAACCGCCTATTCTTTATTTATATTAAACACATCAACCGCATAATTACAACACCGCAGGGCGATAACATTTTTATAATTTGAGTTTCAGGTAATTACACAGATAATAGATATGCATGACACTCAGTATATATCCTAGCTAGTACATATATTATTTTGTATAGGGACTGCTCAGCTTTTAACCTTCTAATAAAGTTCTAGTTCTTAATATGTTTAGTTTTTACGATTAATTTCAAACTTCTTTACATTCTAGTTCTAGAGAAGTTGCTTTTTGGTCACTTACCCATAGCCTGTTTGTAGTGATCATGGCACCAGTAACGGCGGATAAGGCGCAAAGCGATGTAGTACGCGAACAATGTTGCCACTATTAATGCGGTTATACTTGCGATGCAAATATTCATCATTGGAGGCTCACTACCTGATGGTAAAAAAAAATGGTGAACTTATAAATCAAGAAAAAACCCTTTGATTACGATCTAGATGGCGTGGGAAAGCCATGCTCTTACCGGCTGACAGAAAACTGGTTTTAAACAATTCTTTCATTGATTATCACCGGGTGGGCGGGGGGACTCAACGCTCTAGTGACTCTTGAGCCGTAGTTGTCCATGGGCGACGGTAATCACTTACCATCAGCCGTGCTATTCTCTAAGGAGACAGCCTTGCGTACAGCGCTGCCACAGCGTAACTAGCTTAGTTAGTTGCAGGTGACCAGTCTGTTCGTTTGACTCAAACCAGTTTTTTTTAAATGATTTGTTCCTATATTTTCGTATCATTGTTATGGTAGAATGTAACATTCTTAAAAATAAATATTATTATTTTCTTTATTGCATTAAATATACATAAAATTATACGTTGGACTAACACACAACATTTTAGCAAACCCAAAAACTAGTGGCCCAAAAATTTAGCAGTTTAGTATTGGTGCCTTTTAATGATTTTCCTTCATAAGGTGTTCTAATTATATGTATAGTAGATAATAGGTTAGTATAAGGGACAATGAAGCTGGAGTAGCCGTGTGGGCAAAAGTTACTTCCAAAACATAAAAAAAATAAACACAAATTACATTTTTAAATTTATTTATGACCAAGATACCGGTGGTAATTTTTTTTTTTAAAGACAACTCCCTCATTAGGAATATAACCTGTGTCGCGGAAGACTTTACAAACATACACAAACAACACCCAGACTCAGAACAATTTGTGGATCACACAGTGTTGTCCCATGCGGGGATCGAACCCAGAACACTTAGCGTAGTAGGAAGCGGCGAGGTGATCGCTTAAACCACTACGCCCATCCATGCAGTCTACTATCGGTGCAATGATTGCCGAATCCACATCCCCCATGTCGACGATCTAGTGGGATCTTTTTAACCGACTTCAAAAAAGGAGGAGGTTCTCAATTCGTCAGAATCTTTTTTTTTTCAGCTTTCAAGAGATTGTCGTCCTTATTATTATTGTTCTTTCTTGAAAGTATAAATTTATGTTTTAAATCTTTTCTTTCCTATATACTTTGCCTCCGAAGTCATCACTAACTAAAAGTTGTTATCAATGACAATACTTTAAAAAGTCATGCATTCTTTTTACTCTTCTACTTTTACTATTAAAGTAGAATTGTTCACATTCTCATCTGTGAGTACCTAATGTCTAGCGGTTACAACCGATTGCTGCAACTCATATCACAATTTTTCTCTATTAATGGTCCTAATTCTGTTGTTCGAAAAATCTCTAAACTAAACTAAAAATCCCTAAAAAAATTTTAGTCCTCCGAAATTCTACGTCTTCAGAACGAGAAACGTTATTTGACAGGACGAAACAATTTTTTGTGATTTTTAGTTTAGTTTAGAGTTTTCGAACAACAGAATTAGCACCAATATCATATTTTTTAGACGTATTAAGCAAAAATTTCAAGAGACGAAGGAACCCAAGCGCCCCATGTCGGCCTATATGTTATGGCTGAATAACTCAAGACACAAAATTAAGAAGGATAATCCTGGCATGAAAGACACGGATATTGCTAAGAGAGGTGGAGAAATGTGGAAAGCAATGGAAGACAAGAGTGAATGGTATGAAAAAGCTGATATACTGAAGCAACAATATATTCAAGATTTAAAGCGGTATCGGTTCAAAGACGAAAATATGAAGGGTCACAAAACCAGAAACCAGGAAGAAAAGTGATTAACGAAATTAAAATTTGATTAGAAAACAGATTAATTAAAGTAATACTCAATTATGTTTTTCAAAATTTTGCGGGTAGATTTAGCTAAAAAAGTTAAGAAACATGTCTCAAACTTCTATTTTTCGTATAATGAAAGTTATACTTACTTATCAGTATAATAGGACTGTATACGACTTGACAACCAGCATCACTCTCTTGGGTGCATGTGTCATGAAGAGGAGTTACTATAAAATTGACTGACCCATTAACCCCCACGTAATTATAATCATAGGTGACTTCATCAGACCTATACTTCAAGGGTAAATTGGTAGACTTTACAGAACATGAGTTGCCTTTGCCACATGTTGTGACGACCTTGAGCTGGTAAGATCTGATTTCTAGTTGGGGGGGTGGGGGCATGATGTGAACTCTCAGTCTGTCTTGAAGAATTTCAACGTACATAAATGGCTTCCATCTTTCTTCAGTTGTGGTTGGACCTGTAAAAATGTGAAAAATATTATTATTAACATATCATACATAAATTCACAAACAAGCAAGCCTATATCCTTGAAATTGTAAAATGACAGAGGCGTATTCGTTAATCATCATCAACAATCTTTAATAGTCCACTGCTGGACATAGGCCTCTTTTTAGAAAGGTTTTTAGAGGTAGCATACAAAATGGTCGAACTTCGAATTCGTGTCTTTTTAACCAGTATAATTTGAGTTGTTTTTGTATATTATAGTATCGTACAGTCAACGACAAAAGTAGATGATCAAACCGATTGTCAAAACTACTGATGTACGACGTTAATTTGCGCGCGATGTTAATTTTAGTTCCTCAAAAAATGCTGAGAACAAAATATTCATGAAGTTATGATTTTTATGACTATCACTTATTTTGTAACGTCTTTAATCATCAACTTTTGGTGAGAGTTTAAGCGGCTAATTATTTTGCAACGACTTTGATCATCAACTTTTGCGGGCAATTTAATCAGCTAATTTATGGCTATTTTATTTAATCACTTAATTTTGTAACATTGTAGCACTATCTAGTTTTGTTCCAAATATCGTTCATTAGTTTTGACAATCCGTTTTAGATCATCTAGTTTTGTCGTTGACTGTACTATGATAGGTCAAAATATAATAAACTGCCTAAGGGGAGCTTCCATTTAAATATTATAAAAATTAAATTAAGAAAATGGCTAGTGGATAAGTAATATATATATTTTATATATATATATATATATATATATATATATATATATATATATATATATATATATATATATATATATATATATATATATATATATATATATATATATATATATATATATATATATTTTATACGATAAAAGAGTTCATGCAACACATACTAATGTATCTGAATATTTCTAAAATTTTATATAATCTATATGTATAAAAATGTTGGATTGGTTTGGTGTGTATGCTAAAACCTCAAAAAGTTCTGCAATAGGTACAGAACTTAGCTAAATTTTGACACTTTTTTTAAAGGTCTACTAGCAACCGTAATTACTAGTATTCCCGTGAACCCCTACAGCAAAGCTGAATTGCTTGTGTTAGGAGTGGGTTCACGTCGGTAGTGTACTGGTCAGGATTTGAACCCACTACCTCTTGATCGCAAGTCCAACCACTAAACTATATACTAAACTATATACAAACCACTTTAAAGATTGTTTTTATCTATTATGTTTCTAATTTCTCAATGCAACGACAATGTGCTATAGCGAAGCAGGGTACAGCTAGTGTGAATATAAATATGGTAGATAATAATTTAGTTGTTAATTGTTTTATATAATCATAAATATTTGTAAGCCTAATACAGGCAGAATATAGCGTGGACTATGCACCTTTGTTAAATCTGGTACCACCTGTATTCTACGCAAATAAATGTTTCTTTCTTTATTTACTTGGCACCTTTAGTTACATAAAGCAGTATTTACATATTTTTAAATTATATAGCACATATTGCTAAAAAAGAAATGCCTTGTACATATAAACATTAGTATCCCAATATGATATTATTCCATGAAGGGATACCAAGAATTATCTTCACATAATAATTTGGATATTGAAATATACAATATTTAGCTTGTTGATTCAATAAACAACAACTGCCGCCTTGTTATTTAAACATGTCATTATAAGATACTATTATTTTGTATGACATGTTCACATGCGATATTTATCATCCAACACGCTCAGACTAATTAAACCTAGGAAAGGCATCCAGAAATAATATCAACACATTAAATGTATGGTTTTCCTTAAGAGGATTTTATTTAAGAAATAAACTTTTTTATTCTTTATTTTTTGTTTAAGTACACTTTTTTTCCACGTGTGCATACATAAATGGGCCGGCTTGACCGGAGTTATAGTGAAGACGAGTTCGCTCTTCGATTCTTCAATTCTTTTACGTAATGAAAATTATATCCTAACCATGTCCGTCTCGTTGACGTCATCAATTATGGGTCATTGTTTCAATGAAATATTTCCATATCTTAATAGATAAAGGTATAGCTGATAAGCATCTCTTTGTCTGCCTAATATTGCAACAACGTAAACAATGCTGCCACAAAGGTATAGTATAAATTTAAAAAAAAAACGAGTGACAATAAAAAAATATTGTGGAATTCCAGTTGCCAATGTTTAAAAATATTTTATAGACTTTATGAAAATAAATTTTATATAAGAATCATATATAAAATGTTCAATCAATCCTTTAAATACAAACACTTTTAAACGATTGTTTGTGAATTTACGTGCGTCTTTGTTGTATATTTTTAACTCCACCTTGATGAAGGCCTGGACTCATTTTAATAAACTTTAAAACCCAGACAGATTTTACGGATTAAGAATAAGGAGTGTCACCACCCCTCTTCATCCCGTGGGTGTCGTAATAGCCGACTAAGGGAGCGAACTACGCAGGGCAACAGCACTGCAAAGAGAAGGAAAACTTGATACAAACCCTATACCAAGCCGTCTGGCCAGCATGGTATAGCAGGTGGGCTATTAAAGGTCGTTGATGTGATGATGATGAACCAAAAACCTGTTATAGAGGAAAAAGAAGTACAAATCTACCCGTACAAGTACGTGATCAGAATATTACTATAAATATAATATGAACTTACTAAGCATTTCAGCCGTAGGTATATTGAAGTAATATTGGCCCCTATTGATGCTTTTATCCTCTGTAGTCGCTTCGAAGTCCAGCATGTGACTTTGACCATCCTTTTCATCGGTTTTTGCCCAATAACAATCGTAGTAAAGTACTGATTTATCATCTACTGTAAAGTCGTTTGCTATCATGATATTACGGCAGTGGTTCTTAATGTTACGGTACTTATTCTGGAAACGAAATTTCATAGCTGCAAGAAAACGAAAGATTAAAAGATTAGTTAGCTTAATAATTTATATAATTCTTTAAATTCTAAAGTAATAAATTTAGTGGGCCAGTCATTATTTTATGATGTATGCAACACTCAAGTGACAGACTGGTGTTGCCAGGATAAAAAGCTGTAGCAGTACATCCAGTACAAGCCCTGTGTTCATAGTTGCTTACTTAATTGTACATGAACTGTTATTTTTATAACTGTAATCTATTTTAGGCCATTACAGTTCCATATTCCAATGATTCGCATTGGAATATGGAACTGTGTTGGCGTAAATACTGGCAATAATTTGTGCCGCCACAACGGCCATGTCAAGGGGGACAGCATGGCCTAAAGGCACTAGAGGGCAACACAATGAACTCTGGTATTGTCTCGAATGCCATCAAGCATTGGAGCAGCTTGCTACAACAACTGGGATACTCCTCCGTTGGATTAAAGGGCACAGTAATTCACACGGGAATGACGAACTATCAATGAAGGCTCGGCAACTCCAGCTACCGGTCCAACTATACTCCTGGCATTGACTTTCAACTAACTTCGATCCTGGGCAAGACAACGTACTTTAGAAGCACACAACCGGAGGTGGCAAAACTCACCCGGCTGCAGACAGTCCAAACTGGTGCTGACTGAAGTCTCACCACGACTTTCTTGCAGACTGATCAGACTTAGCAGACTAGGCATCCGAAAACAACTATTCACCATTAATGCGACAACAGTCCTCTTTGCAGAGGATTGTTGTGTCTTCTACTTTCAGAAAAAGTGATAATCCTGGAATCCTGGCACTCAACGGGCTAGTATCATACCTGATACAGAATCGCTTCTAAAAGCTTGTGAACGCCCTAGAAGGCTTCTGCGCTTCTGGAAAGAGTTTGGTTGGTTGGTGGTTGAACCTAGCCAACCTTTCCTCGACGCATAAACGACCATTCTCGGGTCTAAATGAGGAAACCAGAGCACAACCAATACCAATAACTGTATTTCGATGCAATAGGTTTTCCAAAGTCTGTGCGGAATGTTATGCAAGTTTATTAATTTATAAATTAGTACTTAAATAAATTGAATAAACTTACTTTTCCATTTAATATTAGTAAATGATATGTTCAGCACAGCATGATTTACAGAATATGGCACGAGGCTGTCGTCACGAGTTACTGACATGATATAGGGTTTGAGCGTCACTCCTCCTATATTCCCGTTCACGTTGTTTGAAAGAGACTTAAACTTCATAGCGCCACACTCTTGGCTGTCAGATGGATAAACTTTAATCTTACAAAAGTCATAGTTTGTGCTATTTTCGCCAAGCATCTGAAAAAGAAATTGTTAATAAGCCCTTTGTAAAAATATTTATTATCTTAGAAATCATAACGTATACTCTAAACGTACACACGCACATTTGAAACAGGATATTGAAAAAGTTAAAAATAAGTTTTTTTATGGGTAACAGATTGTGCACTTCCACAGTTAAGTAAAACACATAATCTCATACCTATATGCGAAGGAGTTTGGCAAGGATGAAATGTCCACACTTTGTTACTATAATTCCAATAACTAAATATCTAGTCTAGTTTAGACTCATTAACTTAAGTGGTAAGACTCGTGGCTAAGTGGTAACCGGTTGGGGGTTAAAGGTCTTTTCCGGCCCTAATGTCAAACTCACCTGCACGCGCCTTACGGCGGCAGTGGTATTGTCTGTTACCACCGTGGTACCCCCTGGCAGATAACAGAGGAGGCTCTGGCAAGACCGAGCAATGACGGTACAACCATAGCTGGAAGACTGGCTGGAAGAGGCTAAAGCAAGCCTTGGGGTCGAAATAACCCCAAAAATGCCTTTTAGTTGTGGGAGATATGGCAAATATGAAAGCGAAGTTAAAATCTAGACTACTCCAGGAGGGTACCGGTAGGATAATTTCGCCTACATTAGAAAAAAGAAAGGCAGATGCCAGTCGCTCATCCAAAGAGAATACTGAGAGCAAAATATCAGTGCAGCAATTCATCCTGGGCTGTTTGTTACGAGACTCAGATCTGCATCTGTAGGGAATAGTAGAACTCAGGAATCTGGAAAAGAGGTGCCAAATGAAGAGGCAGCAATACCAACCATTCCAAGCAGTTCACCATGTCTGCCACCGTAGCAAAAAGTTCCTGCAGGACTGAAAGCAACTATCCGTAAAAAAAAAGGCGGTAATTGAGAAGCGAAGACTAAGGCTGAATTGGTATGAAATCCGTCTTAATGAATACAAACTAAACTAACTAACTCTCGAAAGCAGCCAAAGATCTTAAGGAAATGTCACATAGCTGGCACAACAATGCCCTTGAATACCAACTGGAGTCGCTCACAGCCAGTGCTGCAACTAATTATTCGCTATGGAAGTTCACAAAAAGTTACGACAGGCCACATATTCCCAAACCACTCTTAAGAACCACTGAGAGATGGGTGCGCTATTGCAACATAAGGCAGATACGTTTGCATCACAACTAGCCAAAGTGTTCGGCCCCAACGAAGCAGGCGACCCACTCTCTGAAAAAGAAGTAGATACCGCTTTCATCCAAGACTTTCGAATGCCGCTGCCACCAGTCCCAATAACTCTGCGCGAGGTCTGGACGACCATTAATAAAGAATAACAAAATAAAAAAGCTCCTGGCTTTGACCTTATCACGAAAGAGGTACTCTGTCAACTGCCAAGGAAAGCTATCACATTCATCACAACACTATTTAATGGCATGCTTCGGGTTCAATATTTCCCTGAAACTCTCAATCTCTGTCAAACTCGAAAAAAATGTTTAAACCAGATAGTGAAGTAACTTCATACAGGCCCATCAGCAGCAGGCCCATTGTTACCGATACTGTCTAAGTTGTTTGAAAAATTATTGCTTCACCATATTTTGCCATTGCTAGAAACAATTAAAATAATCCTAAGTCACCAGTTTGGATTTAGGTCCAATCACTCAACAGTAGAGCAAGTGCACAAAGTCGTTGACAAAATAAGAATAGCTGTGGAGGAGAAAGAATATTGCTCTTTTGTCTTCTTAGACATACAACAGGCTTTTGACAGAGTATGGCACAAAGGCTTGCTGTATAAAATAAAAAAATAGCCTCCCACACAGCTACCAAACAGTAGCTTGTTGCTTGCTGAATCTTATCTAGCTGACAGAATATTCCCCTCTTAGAGATGGCCTCACTGCAGATCACACTCAAATTGTGACAAAGATCACCGCATCTGCTCAAAGCATCTAAGAAAGTTTTAAACAAGTAGTAAAATATTGCAAAGTGAAGCAATCATAGCCAAGTCAGTCTACGGATGGGTGACCATTCTAAACAGATTGAGAACCCTATGTGCCTCGGAAAGCGTGTTAAACCGGCGGTCTTGGTCGTCTGTGGCAATCACTGGGTACTTGGATATGGGTAGTTTTTCTACAGAACGTAGATATTGCCTAGTACTTAGGTTGTGGAGGTATGTCTGCCTTAGTGGTGTAGTACGGTACGCGACTGCAGACCATAAAGCCTCGGGTTCGATTCCCGGACTGGGCAAAATTTTATTAAACTATCAAAATTTTGTTCAACTTCGTATTATATATATAGCTATTTTATAGCGTATTTCTGAGGAAAAACACTATAAAATAGCCTTAGTTACGCCTTGTATAGACAGCTGCCTGGTAGTAAAATATAATCAAAATCGGTCCAGCCGTTTTGAAGATTACCCGGAACAGACAGACAGACAAAAATATTTAAACTAGTTCTTAGGCATAGGTGTCGTGTGTCGCGTCGTGTCGTGCAAATAACCATGTGAGCATCAAAAGAACCTTCGATTTTGATATACAAACAAACAGTTCAATTTTATTTATTTGTATAGATTGTAGAGTCAAGCCTGTATCTCGAAATGTTGGTTTCTAACCTATGATATCTCTTAAAAAAAAACTAATACAGAGTAGTTGTCAATTTATAACACCTTAATAACTTACAAACACATTTTGCCTTGTTTTACCTAAAATTTAATAAAGAGCCCAACTATGTCAATGTTATTAGTATACTGTAGGTTTTAAAAACACTTATTTCTGCAATTTTGTAATTTTACCATTATTAACAGCAGAACTTTAATCTTGTTCCTACAAGTTCTTAGTTTGGCTTCACTTTTACACATATAATGAATCCTATCCTAAAATTCTACTGGGACCACTTATTCAGTGGCATACATTTTATTTTGGATTATTTTTATTTCAATTTGAAAGAGGAGGATATGTTTTTTGAAAGAGGAGATGGAGTATAGGAAAATGCATATAGTGTAATTTGATAGGTGGCTAACGCCATGTCCCCATGAGTTAGTCATCTCTGTAACCTTAAGCAAGCTACTTATGAGTTAATAAACAAATTCAAATCATCCGTTGTTTTACTTCTATTATCAATCGGTAGCCAGAAATAGGGAAGTATATACCACCCATATTTATTTACATATGTAAAGCCTCCTCGGGCTGTCAATCCACCGGGGTTTGCGGCAGGGTAGTGTGTTGGAATTGGACCGATTCAAAACATACAGTGTGCCAATCTGCGCCTGCAATAGGAGGGATCCGAGGACTGCTGTTATTAGGACGTTCAGACCAAGTATATACCACCCGTAGCTTAACCTTATAGCCAGCACATACAGTTATTTTCATCTTTACCTATCAATTTAGAAATTAGTGAAACACATGAGAGCTTAAAGAACTTGCAAAAATACAATGTTAGAGGAAAAGAGAAATTACTCAAACCCAAAAAAATCGTTTAGTGACCCTGGCTTCAATTCCATAGAACAAATATTGGCTCAAAGTGGATGTTAATACATTTCACATTCTAAGTATATAACTAATAATGCTTTTCTAAGAAAGAGAAAAATAGATTTTTTTCTTCATATTTTACAAACTGTGGTATCATTGTCATGACAAATAAGGAGCTTAAACTCCTCAACTAACTTTAGCAACAGCCAATGGCGTTGAAAAAGCATTCTATAGACATTAAAAAAGTGTTTTATGCATCAGTGAGCGGCCTTCAGCCTTTGTGCTAGTTGCTTTTATTAAATTTGTAATTCGCTGATTACGACAACTGATTAACGTTAAGGAAAAAACATAAAATATTTTTAATTGTTGTTTAAAAAGACTATGGGAATCCAAGGATGATTGTGTCAGATAATGTCTTACTATACATAGTTGTACGCAGATAATTGCAAAAATCAATATTGATGCAATTATATGCACTTCTGCCATTCCACGTTTAAAAAACTAGAATTTTACCTCCGATGTACAGCTGAGCTCAGTTCTATTCGCTGAACACTGATAAGACCCAGCAACATATTGAAGAAAACAAACAAACACTAAAAACACTAGTCGCCACATTCTTGAGCTAATCGTCCTTTCAGCTTAACGGATATAAAATAAAAATACGCATAACTGAATTTCGCACACGTCTATACCCTCATCTTTTTAACTATTTTCACTAAATTAATAAAACAAAAAGTAGAAATAATGAAAATGTTTACAAGGCGAGCACCGAATCGACGATTTCGACAAGTCGTAAACTACGCAACGGTTGCGTTCCGTAACCGTGTATTTTCTTTCCCGTGTTAACCAAATATTTGCATTGCACTATGTAAATGAATGGCGGCTAACTCTGGCTATAAGTGGTGATAGTAATAATAGTTTATCAATAAACACTTTTTGTTTTTATTTATATGTACACTGTTTGTAATTAAAGTTTAAAGTATTCAAAGAATAAAGGTAATGTTAAATTGGTACCTTCATATTGCTCTGATTAAAGATAAAATTGCATGTAATATGTTTTTTTTAGACGAATGTTTTTTCTTTTCGCGTTACACTCTCTGAGCCATAGGGAGTGTCCATACGCAGGCGTTACCCTCTGCCAAAGTATAAGTCCACACGGTCATATGCGTACAATAAAACTAGTTGCGGCCAGACCACTCACTAAATCTAGTTGCGATGCTGAGTAGACAGTAGCTGTCCCACAAAATCTGCCATGTCAAGTTTACAAAAAGATATTTAAAATCTAATCAAATTATTCCTATTTACTCATTTTTAAACTTAAAATTTACGAAAACAACATTTGTATTGTTTTGGATTTGCTTACCAACACACGCCGCTTGTGCTAATACAATATTCGGATCGGTCGATATCGATAAAACAAATACATCCATGTCTCTCGTGCATATTATCATTTTTAAGATTATGTTTTCTGATAAAAATAATATAATTATGTGGATTGTGAGCTTTAATATACTTTAATGTTAAAATTGCGTCCAATCAAATATAGTTAATACAATACTTACGAGTATTAATACATTATTAAAATTACTAAGTGTGAACGACCACATTGTTTTTATTTATTTATTGCAGGTTTCTTAAAGAAAAGATTTGTTAATTTAAGGGCTAAATCGAAGAACTTTGATGAAAACTTATACCCTACCTGGATACCTACAAGAAACTGACTCTGACTTTTAAGTTTGGCGAACAATAGAATGATGGAAGATTCTTAATGAAAAAAGCTAACTCACAGAAATGTATTGACTCACACTCACTCACAGAATGAATTATGTATTTGCACGAAATTAATCCAGTTTAAAAACCAGTGATAGATAAACTATTGGTAATATCAATAATGGTAGATGATTGTTCTAGTAATAAGTAAATTCCTATCTATATTAATATCCACCCTTTTATTACTTTTTAAACCTGATTTCCCTAACCGACTTCTTGAAATTATCGATGTTGCGAATCAATGGTTGTTCCAGCCACGGTTGTTTGGCAACATGTCAATGTGTGATCTCTTCTGCATCTTGTGCATCTCTTCATTACATTGTTATTACACAGACTGTGTATATGTGTGTGTAAAATTGTTAATGTGTTGTTTTAATTGTTTTGTGTGAGTATCAATTGACATGACACATTGTAGTGCCAATTGTTTTTGCATGGGAGTCCAAGAATGTGTGCGTGTTGAAGATTCGCTGCCTTAAAAAATGACAGACTCTTGTATCGCGAAAAGACGCTATGGCTACTCTCCTCCGGTCCGCCGGTGCCCTGTGTTGTTTTATACTCTGAGCGGATGGAAACGAAACTGAAAAATGTGTATTAAGACTTTTTTCCGACACTTCTTGCTACACTTCTTTCCGACCGGGGGTCCAAAGACTACTCACGTCTTTTTTATTTGAAGTGTAAGATACATCACCATTTTGAGTTAAACCAAGTTCACCAAATTGAAGTCCAGTTCAAATTGATTTAAACTTATGCAACTAACTATACATTGAGTGTTATCTACATACATTGATCGTTATTACAAATACTGCCTAAATTTTCAATACAGTACCTACCTACTGTTGTTATAATATTCAAGACCATAGATAGATAAGAGAAGTGAAAATAATTATATAATTACATTTTATTATAGTTTGGAACGCACCAACAAACGATGAGTCATTAATTATTGGTGTTCAGTCTTTAGCTGAAGACTAAATAAAAAATTAAATTTAAATAATTTCAAGGTGATTCGGTAAAGCAAAACAAGAAACTAATTAATGCCAATCAAAATGTTATCTCTTTATATATACACAACTATCAAAATTGCTAAATTTGAAGATAACACAAATTCTTGTTTTTTTTTGTTAACGGGGTGGAAGATCCTCATGGATGTCCTTCACCCAGTGGGGGGGGTGGCGAAGGGGTCGGACTCTTACTAACTAAAAACCACCTCGGTGTTCCTCTTCTTGCCAATGGCCGTGGGAGCGAGAATCGCAATTGCATTCTTCGTCCACCCCTGACAGGCATTTGCCCGTCTAACCCAAGACGGGTCTCGTCACCCGTTGCGTCGCCACCCTTCGGTTGTAGTCAGTCTCCCTCTAGAAGCGAAGCACTGAGAGTAAACTAAACTTTCTAATCTTGCAAAATATAACATTATGAAAAAAAAGTATGAAATATCTTAAATCATGCTGCTTTCGGTCAGGTTTAATGAGGATTTTTTTTCAAATTCTTTGTTCATTTGATTTTAAGTAAACAAAATTTTATCTAGTAAAGTAGATTTTATCTAATAAAGTAAATGTAGAATGATAGATTTCTGTTAACAGGAGGCAGTATGATATCGGGCTAGTACATTTACAAATACCTTTCTATTTTGCATAATTGAGCATCATACCTGGGTAAAATGCGTAGAAAAATTAAGTGTTTTGTAAATTAGACCATATTTAGAGAATCTTAGAGTGAAGTCTTAACCAAAAGGTCTTAATAGGTAGATTAATTTAGCGCGAATGAACTCAAATGTTTATTTATGACTAGCAATCCGCCCAGGCTTCTCACGGGTGCAATGATACTACTAATAAGTACTACGAGTACTAATGTGGTGTCAGTGTGGAGTAAATAATTTTACTATACCTAATTATGAAAGAACTATATCACAGGACAACTTTATACGTATAATATTTATAGGCGAGCTCCGTTTCTGCCGCAGCCAGCCGCGATGGAAGTACGGCCCGAAGCGGGGACAGTCGCTTTGACCGCGCTTTTTAAACCGTACCTAACCGTAACCGCATCTTAGACGTTTAAAATGCGGAATCAAAGCGGCAAATATTTTGCAATATCTTCATATTGCAAAATATTCATTTTGATAATATGCTGTGAAAAGCAATTTTAATCTGCATTAAATGCACAACGTATCTAACGTATTTAATTGGATAAGGAAGAATAATGTATTGTTCAAAATAGCTTCGTTATTAACCCATTAACCCCCTACTTTTTTTAACATGTCACAAAATAAAATGGGTTACTGTGGGCTACCCTTAAGAAATAGACATATACCATTGCTGACTTTTTTTTTAATACATTATTTTGGTCTCTCTTGTAAGGATTAGGCAGCGTTTGTAATGTAAGTGCGCAAAACCATGTTTTTTAGTACAAATCTTTAAAATTCTCGGATTTTCTCTAATTTAATTTGCATGTATTATACACATAAACCTTCCTCTTGAATCACTCTCTCGCATTAAAATGCTCTAAGCGTACAACACGAAAAAGCGACTTTCTTTTGAACTATGCAAAGATAACTTGAGTTTAGTATAACTATAATAGAATAGCAATGTGATGCATATTTGAAACATGTGAAAGACTTACTATCAAGTACAATTACGAGTATGATGGATTAAAAATTAAAAAGTTCTTCTCTCTGGTCATTCACAACATCTCGTAAGTATAATTTGTGATTCCACTTTGTTTGTAGGCACTTTTTAGGATTGATTAATAGATTAATAATTGTTTATATTAATATTATTGATTGATTGATTGATTAATTAATTATTATTTACTTGTACTTACGATCAATGAATTGAATTCAGAGTTCGCTCAGTTAAATTTGGATTTATTATTTAAGGATTAAATTGGTTTTAATTGTGATAGGCTGTGCGATTGATGTGTAGTACCTAAACAAAACGCCCAACAGCAGCTATGTAAACGCCTTATGTAAACCGTCGAGTGATAAAATGGTGTTCAAGTACAAAACGAAGCCTGAATAAAAATACTTACCTTTCGACAGTCGTACCGAGCCCCTATTAATCAATCCTACAAAGTGCCTACAAAGTGGCATCACAAATTATACTTACGAGATGTTGTGCATGACCAGAGAGAAGAACTTTTTAATTTTTGATCCATCATAGGTACTTGTTTCTGTACGGAGGTAATTAAAATTATCTTCTTTTATTTTATTGTTGATTTTATTGTTTTTATTGTTGACTACCTGAGTACCTAATAAAACTTTAATCAAGGTAAAGTGTTCATTTACTGTGGTTTTTATTAAGATTAGAGTAAATTATTAACTAATGGCGAACTACGAAAAAATGGAGATTGCATAGTAGAGTTATGTATTTTTAATTGTAGTAGTGTACATATGGTTATACTTAGTGGATTTACTCGGGTTTTTATAATAAGTTGAAGAAAGCCAGCTCTTAAAATACGAACGATGTCGATTAAGAGAGTTGTTAGTAACAATATAAAGTCTGGTAAAATACTTTTATATTAATACTACTAGCTGACCCGGCAAACGTCGTTTTGTTTTATACAAATATTATTTATGTATATATATTTATCATTTAGGGGTATGAAAAAAAGAGGTTGCCCAGTTTTCAGACCTACCCGATATGTACACAAAATTTCATAAAAGTCGGTACTAATATTGGGAAAAGTACCTACGTAACTTGCGTGACTGTAAGTGTTAAACATAACTACTAAATACTTTGTGTAGTTATTTATAAAATACCTACCCAATAATATATTTATGATAAATGTGCCAGACCTGTATTGTAAGCCAAATTGGCCCAAAACGTATTTTGAAACTTCAAACCATGTGT